AACACATTTGTTTTCCATGAATTTTAACAGTTTCAGAAACTCTTAGGCATTGTGTTACTGTTCAGTGAATCTCTTTTGAGAATTCGAAGATAATCGATATACATTTGGGTTTTTTTGAAAAATAGCTATGTTAAAAATTTTTATTGTCCGAAAAATATAAAAAAATAAAATACATAGCTTTGATTTTAGTGAGAATGATATTAAATTTGCTTGTTAATGTTAAATACATTTGTTGTCCAGGAATTATAAGAGTTTCAAAAAAATTTAAAGATGTTGTTGTTGTAATGTGTATCTCTTTTTGAGATTTCGGAACTGTTTCAAGTTGATTTTAGTTACGGTATGGTGTATCTTATTTGAGAATTCCATGAAAATGTTGATTTCAAAATTGTAAACATGATGCTTCTTTATGGTGTATCTCTTTTGAGAATTCGAAACTATTCGACATTGATTTTAGTTTCCACGAATTATAAGAATCTCTGTAAGCATGGTGTTTCTGTATGATAAATCTATTTTGATAATTCAAATATATTCAACAGTAACAGAATCACATGTATCAAAAATTTTCTTGCTTAAAAAATATAAAAACATAAAATACACAACCATAATTTTAGTGAAAATTTCTTTTTAATGTTAATACAGTCGTTTTAAAATTCTTTATTTTTAATGTTAATTTCTTTTTATTTGTAGGCATGATGTTACTCTTTAGTGAATCTCTATTAAAAATTTGATACTTTTCGACATTGATTTTGGTTGGTGGATAATCGGTCATTTGACATTTTTTCGTGCTTATTAATATTAAATTTGCTTATTAATGTTAAATGCAGTTGTTTTCCATGAATTTTAATAGTTTCAGAAACTCTTAGGTATTGTGTTACTGTGCGGTGAATATCTTTTGAGAATTCGAAGATATTCGACGTACATTTGAGTTTTTTTTGAAAAATAGCTATTTTATATTTTTTTCTTGCCTGAAAAATACCAAAAACAGAAAATACATAGATCTAATTTTAGTGAAAATGATATTAAATTTGCTTCTTAATGTTAACTACATTTGTTTTTCATGAATTATAAGAGTTCCATTAAAAAATGTAAAGATGTTGTTACTGTAATGTGTATCTCTTTTTGAGATTTCGAAACTGTTTGATGGTGATTTTAGTTAATGTATGGTGTATCTATTTTGAAAAATCATGTTTACAGTTTCAAAATCAACATTCTCTTCTTAGAATTCGATAATATTCAACATTGAATTTAGTTGCCACGAATATAAGAGTCTCTATAGGTATGGTGTTTTTGTATCGTGAATCTATTTTGATAATTTAAATAAATTCAACGTAGGTTTGAGTGTTTTAGATTTTAGGTTTTACACTAGTTTAAACACTCGAAAACCTAAAATACATAATCATAAATTTAGTGAGGATGACTTCAATTTTTTTCCTTAAAGTTAAATACATTAGTTTTCCATGAATTATATGAGTTTCACAAAACTCTATGCATTGTGTTATTGTATGATAAATCTCTTTTGAGAAGTCGAAACTCTTTGACGCACAAAATCACATATTTTGAATATATATTATTGAACTAAACTGTTCGATNTAAATCTCTTTTGAGAAGTCGAAGCTCTTTGACGCACAAAATCACATATTTTCAATATATATTATTGAACTAAACTGTTCGATGTTAATTTTGATTTTAGTTATTGTAATATAGTTACAGTACACCATAACACTATACAAGGCCACGACAAAGACACGGTCCTCATTAGCAAAAAAATATGAGTTTAAATGTAGGGAAGCACTTGAAGAACAAAAATATGAACAACATAAGAATATTGATAAATATGATCCACAATATAGATCTAATATAATTGCTATTATACGGGCAATGGATGAAATTACCTTTAACGAAGAGCACAAGAGAATGTTGAAGAAAACCCCATTTTTGTTGCTATTTGAGAGCATTATAGACAAATATGTTGACAAAAAATGGTGCAGAAAAAGTGACAACATTATCCTTGAGATAATTTTATGTTTCAATGCCAACAATTCCAGATTTTGTATAGGGACTAAAAAAGTAAAAATTCGGAGAAATAGTGTGAGTTTGATATTTGGGATTCAAGACGGTTTTGAGAAAATTGACTCAACATTAAATGGGAAGGTGTTGACTCCATTTGTTGAACGGAGATTTAAAATTAATGGAAGGTTGACAACACCAATTATAAAGAGTAGACTTATCCAAGCATCAAGGGACAACACAAGAAATGATTTCGAGGATGTTGCTAGGTTACTGTGTCTTTACTTGTTAGTCACAGTTTTTTTTACCACGACGGGGCATACACTAAGCTGGGGGTATAGTCCATACATAGAGGATTTGGATGAGATTAGAAAATATAACTGGTCTCAATCAATACTCAATGCACTGATTTCATCCCTTACAAAAAAAAAAAGAGACCTGACACAGTCACTGGATGCGTCCTTATAATACCGGTTAGTGTTTTAAATAAAAGTCGTATGATCAATTTAATGAGTTATTAGTTTATAAACATCACACATTTGTTTTAATGTTGTATTTGAATTTTGCAGTTTTGGATCTGTGAGCACACATCAATTATCAGACCAAATTGCTCAAAAAAAATTCCAAGATTTCTCAAATGGAACTTAACGCTCCCGAGCGTGGCAATCAAACAAAAAAAGTTGGCAAAAATCAAGGCCAAAGACGTAAGTTTCAGTATTTGTTCACAATTAAAATATAAGAATACCAAATGTTTTAAAAATTTATTGTTATTGTTGATGTCGTTGTTTTTTACAGGTGATGAAAAAAAAATTAAAGAGAACAAAAGAAGAAAAGTTGTTTTCCATATCACGAAGGATTACAAAGGAAGAGAGAAAACAAGTTGATAGAATTGAGACGAATGAAATTGTTGAAGGGAAAAAAAAGTACCTAGTTGATCATAAGGGTAATGAGCTTGATGAAGAAGGNAACACCAATTATAAAGAGTAGACTTATCCAAGCATCAAGGGACAACACAAGAAATGATTTCGAGGATGTTGCTAGGTTACTGTGTCTTTACTTGTTAGTCACAGTTTTTTTTACCACGACGGGGCATACACTAAGCTGGGGGTATAGTCCATACATAGAGGATTTGGATGAGATTAGAAAATATAACTGGTCTCAATCAATACTCAATGCACTGATTTCATCCCTTACAAAAAAAAAAAGAGACCTGACACAGTCACTGGATGCGTCCTTATAATACCGGTTAGTGTTTTAAATAAAAGTCGTATGATCAATTTAATGAGTTATTAGTTTATAAACATCACACATTTGTTTTAATGTTGTATTTGAATTTTGCAGTTTTGGATCTGTGAGCACACATCAATTATCAGACCAAATTGCTCAAAAAAAATTCCAAGATTTCTCAAATGGAACTTAACGCTCCCGAGCGTGGCAATCAAACAAAAAAAGTTGGCAAAAATCAAGGCCAAAGACGTAAGTTTCAGTATTTGTTCACAATTAAAATATAAGAATACCAAATGTTTTAAAAATTTATTGTTATTGTTGATGTCGTTGTTTTTTACAGGTGATGAAAAAAAAATTAAAGAGAACAAAAGAAGAAAAGTTGTTTTCCATATCACGAAGGATTACAAAGGAAGAGAGAAAACAAGTTGATAGAATTGAGACGAATGAAATTGTTGAAGGGAAAAAAAAGTACCTAGTTGATCATAAGGGTAATGAGCTTGATGAAGAAGGACATGTTGATTATGGTGCACGGGATAATACGGGAGAAGAAAAGCAGAAAATGGGACCATTAGATGTTCTAGTTGATGTGATTCTCACTGACTCAATAGAGAAACGATCATCTAAACAAGTTGTTTATAACGAAAATGAAAAAGAAAAAATCATGAAAGAAAGAGATGAAGCTATGAGACTTGTTTCTAAGATGAGGCAGAAAGATCAAGCAAGGAAGGAAAAAAATGAGAAGCTATCAAAGGATAATGAAATTCTTAGAACAATCATACGGANATACACTAAGCTGGGGGTATAGTCCATACATAGAGGATTTGGATGAGATTAGAAAATATAACTGGTCTCAATCAATACTCAATGCACTGATTTCATCCCTTACAAAAAAAAAAAGAGACCTGACACAGTCACTGGATGCGTCCTTATAATACCGGTTAGTGTTTTAAATAAAAGTCGTATGATCAATTTAATGAGTTATTAGTTTATAAACATCACACATTTGTTTTAATGTTGTATTTGAATTTTGCAGTTTTGGATCTGTGAGCACACATCAATTATCAGACCAAATTGCTCAAAAAAAATTCCAAGATTTCTCAAATGGAACTTAACGCTCCCGAGCGTGGCAATCAAACAAAAAAAGTTGGCAAAAATCAAGGCCAAAGACGTAAGTTTCAGTATTTGTTCACAATTAAAATATAAGAATACCAAATGTTTTAAAAATTTATTGTTATTGTTGATGTCGTTGTTTTTTACAGGTGATGAAAAAAAAATTAAAGAGAACAAAAGAAGAAAAGTTGTTTTCCATATCACGAAGGATTACAAAGGAAGAGAGAAAACAAGTTGATAGAATTGAGACGAATGAAATTGTTGAAGGGAAAAAAAAGTACCTAGTTGATCATAAGGGTAATGAGCTTGATGAAGAAGGACATGTTGATTATGGTGCACGGGATAATACGGGAGAAGAAAAGCAGAAAATGGGACCATTAGATGTTCTAGTTGATGTGATTCTCACTGACTCAATAGAGAAACGATCATCTAAACAAGTTGTTTGTAACGAAAATGAAAAAGAAAAAATCATGAAAGAAAGAGATGAAGCTATGAGACTTGTTTCTAAGATGAGGCAGAAAGATCAAGCAAGGATGGAAAAAAATGAGAAGCTATCAAAGGATAATGAAATTCTTAGAACAATCATACGGAATATGGTCAGCACAGAGAGAGAACAGGTAAGTAGTACAACAATTTTTTTAAAAAATTATTTGTTTATGGTATCAGTAAATGTTACAATTATTTGGTATTTTTACTATATTAAGAATCTTTTACTATTTGTGGTCACTCTTTTTATGTTATTCTTTGTTTGAAAATTGTAGGTTGAATATTTCCTTTATTGTCACTCTTTGATTGCACTGTGTTTTATTATTTGTTGTCACAGCATTCTGTATTGCAACAAGACAACCAGTCATTATATTATTTCATGGCAACTCAAATCACAGAATTCATGTTGACATTAATTGATCGAGACTTACAAATATTAGATCTTGAGGGTTCAGTTGAACAAAAGAGGAAAGAAAAGGACACATCAGAGGCTGAGAATGTACAACTGAAACAAACAGTGGCACGACTTGAATCCAAAAATGAAGAGATGGTGGAACAGATTAATGAGTTTTTTGTTCATGTCATAACCCAACAATATTAGACTGCTCATGTACATAAAGTATTACCACACAGTGCTGAAAATAAAGGAAAGGAAAAATCTACTGTAAGAAAAAGAGGAGGAGAAGTTGAGGAAACCAAAAGAGACCCAATGCAATTGAAGAAAGTTCAAACATCAATGGTTCGAAAGTTGAAAGCAAAAGAGAGGAAAAGGAAAAGGGATGCAGACTATGAGTACAGCTTCAAAAAAAAGGGTAAGAAACACATGGAAACATCCAGTGACATTATCATCGTTGGTGATTCATCAGATAAGACAAGAGAAAGGAAAGAGAAAGAAATGTATGAAAAGGATATGAAAAGGTTGTGGAAAATTTGTTAATCAACGTATCCATCCATATACAAAAAATTAAGACAGATTGAGCAAGTAGAGGGAACTATGCAAGTGTATTAAATCGTTTTATATGTGTATTTCTTTTGGGGGCTGGTTCTCAGTATGTTGTTACTCTTTCGTTGTTTTTTAAGTATCATCGCGTAATAACTATGCAGGTCAACAATATGGCTCGGAATGTCCGTCGGAAGCTATATTAATGTTGAAGATGTTTTGAAAGTTATGGGAGGAGATGCACTTTACAACAATGTACGTACTATAGTCTTTAAATTTTTTCTTTCATTTTATGAAAATGGTTTTAATTCCAGCCATGTTTTTTTTTTATAGATCATAGACTGTTGGGGTGATATTTTGCATGAATTTGAGGAAGCCCGCGAACAATCAACATTCAAACGACGTTGTTTTTTCTTCAACAGTCTTTGTTTGGTAAGTTGGATTGAAATGAATGATTATATAAATATTAAAAATATTTTGAAATATGCATCTGTCACATATTTAATCGTCCACTTCACGAAAATTGTAGACCTTGGTGACCTCCTCACAGCTAGATTATGCACGTGAAGTTGAAATTGACAATAAACTCCTACTTAGGAGAGATTACCAATACCTTGTATTTCCCATGAATTCAATTGGTGAAAGCGAGGATTGACAGTCAAACCATTGGACACTTCTAGTATTGGATACTGATGCTGGCATTTGGACACACTTCAATTCGTTAAAACCAAGAAGCGGGATAAGGGATATTTGGCTCAAAGATACAACCATACTGGTTATCAAAACAACCATATACAACATTTTATAAAATTTTATGAGTTGCAATAATTACTACATTTCAAATTGATTACTGCTTACTTTGAAATGCAGAAGGATTATGTTGAGCAGAAGATATCCGACATGCAAATGTCAAACAGAATGTTAGTCGAGACTCGGGATAGAGTTCTGCCAATTCATTCGTCCGACAAATGTTCACAGCAAAAAACTGACTCGTACATATTTCACATAATGTTTTATGAATGAACAAAAAATACACACAATGATGCTGAAAAAATACACGTAATGCAGGGTTGATTGTGGCCTAAATGTTTGTTGTATAATGAGGAAATTAGCACTTGGCAAAGAAATACAACCCAAATTAACAATAGCACAGGTGAAACAATTCCGATCAGAAATGATTGAATTGTTCTTGAACCATCCCAAATCTTGGACAAAAGAAGATTTCAATGAACGGAAGAAACTGAAGACAAAATATGGAATCAAAGATTAACTAGATACAATTGAATGTTGGGAGTTTATTGCATATGTCTATAATTTGACTGGTCAATTTTTTGAAATGTAATTTAAGGTTAATATGTAAAGATTTCCATTTTTGTGTTTGAATAACACTTTTATTAATGTTATATTATTCTAGCTTATATTTCATTAATTTAATTTCCTTATTTCCTGTATTTCTTTGGTGACAATGTTTGCATGACAACTTTTCGAATTCCTCTTTAGGTGCAACTCTTTGAGTGAGCAAATATATATTATCATCATTTATGATTAATCTATTGTTATCAATTTTTAGTGACACTACTTGGGCATTATTAAGGGGGCATTACATGATGTCATTGATTGGCCTCCCATTGTCATTATATCCTGTCTCTCTTTGGTGACACTGTTTGCATGACAACTTTTCGAGTCTCTCTTTAGGTGCAACTCTTTGAGTGGGCAAATATATATTGTCATCATTTATGGTTAATCTATTGTTGTCACTCTTTAGTGACACTACTTGGACACTATTAAGGGGCATTACATGATGTCTTTGATTGGCCTTCCATTGTCATTATATCATGTTTCTCTTTGGTGACACTGTTTGCATGAAAACTTTTCGAGTCCCTCTTTAGGTACAACTCTTTGAGTGGGCAAATATATATTGTTATCATTTATGGTTAATATATTGTTGTCACTCTTTAGTGACACTACTTGGGCACTATCAAGGGGACATTACATGATGTCATTGTTTGGCCTCCCATTGTCATTATATCCTGTCTCTCTTTTGTGACATTGTTTGCATGTTAACATTTCGAGTCTTTCTTTAGGTCAAACTCTTTGAGTGAGAAAATATATATTGTCATCATTTATGGTCAATCTATTGTTGTCACTCTTTTGTGACACTACTTGGGCACCATCAAGGGGGCATTACATGATGCAGATGGTTGGACCTCCATTGTCATTATCTCGTGTCTCTTTTTGGTGACACTATTTGCATGACAACTTTTCGAGTCTCTCTATAGGTGCAACTTTTTGAGTGGACAAATATATATTGTCATCATTTATGGTTAATCTATTGTTGTCACTCTTTAGTGACACTACTTGGGCACTATCAATGGGGCATTACATGATGTCATAGATTGGCCTCTCATTGTCATTATATCATGTCTCTTTTTGGTGACACTATTTGCATGACAACTTTTCGAGTCTCTCTTTAGGTGCAAGTCTTTGAGTGGGCAAGTATGTATTCTCATCATTTATGGTCAACCTATTGTTGTCACTATTTGGTGACACTACTTTGGCACTATCAAGGGGCTATTACATGATGTCATTGGTTGGAACCCTATTGTCATTATCTTGTGTCTCTCTTTGGTGATACTGTTTGCATGTCAATTTTTCAAGTCCCTCTTTAGGTGCAATTCTTTGAGTGGGTAAATATATATTGTCATCATTTATGGTCAACCTATTGTTATCACTCTTTAGTGACACTACTTGGGCACAATCAAGGGGACATTACATGATGTCATTGGTTAGACCCCCATTATCATTATCTCGTGTCTTTCTTTGGTGACACTGTTTGCATGTCAATTTTTTGAGTCTCTCTTTTGGTGCAACTCTTTGAGTGGTCAATATATATTGTCATCATTTATGGTCAATCTATTGTTATCACTCTTTAGTGACACTACTTGGACATTATCAAATGGGCATTACATGATGACATTGATTGGACCCCTATTGTCAATATCTCGTCTCTCTTTGGTGACACTGTTTGCATGACAATTTTTCGACTCCCTCATTAGGTGCAAGTATTTGATTGGGCAATATATATTGTCATTATTTAAGTTCAATATATTGTTGTCACTCTTTACTGACATTACTCGGGCATTATTAAGGGGGCATTATATGACGCCACTGGTTGGTGTATATTTATCTTTATCTCCTGTAAATCTTTAATGACACTATTTGTATGTCTAATATTTGTGTCTACTATTTGATGACAATATATACTTTAATATGTGGTATCACTTATTTTGTATGAGTTGTATTGGACTACTTTTAGTTGTACGGCTAACTATTAGCTGACACGCTTTCTTGTCATAAATTTTATTGTTTTTGGACATAAATTCTTATGGAATTAAAAAAAAAAAAAAAAAACTCCAATCAACAAAACTAAATGAACACTGGAAAAACATTAATTTAAAATATTAATCCAATTACAAAACCACATTACATGTTTTTTTGTTGTGGCTTCCTAACCATCCACAACGGCCACATCGAATTCGCCTAATAAGTTCACCACGTGACCTTGTTCTACACTTCTTTGGTTTGCCAGGCTGTTTCTTAGATAATGACGGCAATATCTTAGTTTCCTCCACCGATAAATCTGGACGTCAAATAGTCGGGATAGGAAATATAGCTTGAGTATATGCTTTTTTTGTATGTGCTCACATGATAATAATAATCCACAAACTCGTTTATATTCCTCCCACTTTTACGTATCGCAGCTACCGCATGAGAACAAGAAAAATCATTAATTTGCCACTGAAAACATGAGCACGTTTCATTCTGAATGTCAACAGAAATTGAAGGATATGAGTTGACTTCGTAGACTTCATTGCTTGAAACCTTCACAGGCCAAGATCACCCTTCAACAAACGCAAAATGAAATTTAGATTCCATAGCAGGACACAAATTTTCATTCCATGTATGAGATGTAGTCAACCTGCACCCCATCTAATTCATTAGTTGTCCCCGTATAGTGTCCACCATGCTTGTAATCGATAAATTTTGTGCCTTAATTATCCAAGAATTAAATGACTCCACTACATTAGAGATCATCTCACCGTAACGTTTACCTTTAAAATGAGCATTTGCCCAGTTTTCATAAGGAAGATTTTTCAAGAATCTGTCCACATTGGGTCCACCTTCACGTCTTAAAACTTCAATCTTCTCATTGAATATTGCAATTGTTGAAGCATATGCGGCCTCACAAAACAAATTTATCAGATATTTTCTTAGGACATTTGAATGTTGAGACCCACTAAACTTGTCCCTCGAGTTTGCCTTCAAATGCTGCAAACAAAAAGCATGGTGGCACCTCGAAAAAACCTTCGGCATAGCTTCCAACAACCCAACATTTTGGTTAGACACAAATGTAATCACTCGTTCAGGATTCAAAACCACCGACAATTGTTGTAAGAACCAATGTCAATTAGTCTCATTCTCTGAATCAGCCATCGCATAGGCTAAAGGGAATAAACCTACCAAGTAGAGTAATAACATACAGATTCAAAAAAACTTTCCAAAAAAAAAAACATAAACAATAACAGTATACAGATTCAATTACCCAAAAAAAAAAGAAAGACAATAAACAGTAACAGTTAATAATACAAAAACATCATATACAAACAAAATTATACCTTGATTTCCATCTTTTCCAATGGCCGAAAGAATATTTTCTTTGTACTTTCTTTTAAGGATGGTTTTATCAACAAACAAAATAGGTCAACAGTAGTTGAACCCATCAATGCATGCCTTGGATGATACAAATAACCTATAGAATCGGTTAGATATTTGATCACAATCAAGCACTATATGGCTACCAACATTTGTATTATTCATTGTATCTACATACCAACGTAATTGATCATAAGACAAAGAATAATTCCCAAAAAGCATTGTTTTTTCTTTTCCACACCTAACAATGCTTGGTCGTATGATATTGTAAGGCCATACGATAAACGAAAATCGCTAACCACCTCAGTTGGACGAGTGTTCGTCTTTTCATGGACATTGTCAATAATTAGATCTACAATCAAATTGGAAGACATCCTTTTGTTTTGGGTTGTGCGTAGAGCTAATCCACAAATGTGTTGGTTTTGTAGTTTCCTTATGTAAAAGAAATCATTCACTCTCTGAAGAGTAGAAATGACATGCTACTTGCATCCTGTAACGTACTTCGACGCACATTCCGCAACTACTCTTGTCTTACAATTCTTCGCATAATTGAAATTAAACCCAACCTCAACTGCATATTTGCATAGAGCAGTCCGAAAATGGGTAACACCACCTTCAAACTTCTGACCTTCACACTTAATTTCATTTTCCCACCCAGATGTTAAAAGAACTTTCTCCGTATGTGAACAAAAACGAGGAAGTAAATCGACCTCAAATTCAACTCCGTCTTCAACAATATTAACATCTTCAAGCAACTCAGTATCAACCACAGCAATTGAAGTATCATTAGACACATACACCATCAATTCAATATGATTGACATTAATTAAACGTACTAACTCAAACATATTCTTCAAGTTATCATCATTTCGTAGTGAATAATTTGGATGACCTGGAATTGAATATGATATACGCATAGCCAAATTTTTCAACTCATCCCATTCCTCGCAAACTCTATGCAAAATGAAATCAAATCTTGATAGAACTGAACATCTCAAGACGATATTTGCATAATAGCATGATCATTTCCTCCATGACCTTAAATATGTGTATAAACAAAAAATCAGTAACAGGTTCCCAAAACAAAAGAATGATAACAAACAGTAAATCATATACGATAATGCATGTTCCAGATTTCATCAATGACCAAAAACAAAATTAAAAAATAAAATATTGACACCAAACAATAAATCACATTCGATTCCAGAAAAATCAAAACTCTTCATGAAAAAAGTGAGGTAGAAGCTTTAAAAAACTATTTGCAATCTTCAAATCATTTTAGCATGAGAGTTTTATTTATCTTTTTGAAATGAAAAAAGATATTAAACATTGAAAATATTAAATGACCAACAAAAATTAATGTTTCATGCTTCTGAAAAATTCCAACAGAATAAAATAAAAAATGCTCCATAATTTTTGAATTTTCATGAAAATACTGAATGAAAGAGTGACACCAAACAGTAAATCATATTCGATTCCAGAAAAATCAAAACTCTTCATGAAAAAAGTGATATAGAAGCTTTAAAAAAACTAGTTCCAATCTTCAAATCATTTTAGCATAAGAGTTTCTTTATCTTTTCGGAATGGAAAAAGATATTAAACATTGAAAATATTAAATGACCAACAAAAATTAATGTCCCGTGTTTCTGAAAAATTCCAACAGAATAAAATAAAAAATGCTCCACAATTTCGGAAATTTCATGAAGATGTTGAATGAAAGAGTTACACCAAACAATAAATCATATTCCATTCCATAAAAATCAAAACTTTTCATGAAAAAAGTGAGGTAAAAGCTTAAAAAAACTAGTTCCAATCATCAAATCATTTTAGCATGAGTTTCATTTATCTCTTCGGAATGAAAAAATAGATTAAACAATGAAAATATTAAATGACCAACAAAAATTAATGTTTTTTTTATTCTGAAAAATTCCAATAGAATAAAATAAAAAAAATATAAAATTTAATGCTCCACAATTTCAAAAATTTCATGAAGATGCCGAATGCCGAAATTTTGAATACTTATAGATTAGTGGTGTCCCGTTTGGTAAAGAATATTCTTAAACATGTGAGAGAAATGCTTGAACGGGTGAAGAAGAAATACAATGTGATAAATGATTGAACTGGTGAAGAAGGAATACAAAAGTAGCTTCTTGAACCGGGAAGATACAAAAGAAGAATATGACTTGAAATTTTAAAATTCAAATGATATACAAATATCAAAAGAAATCTTAAAAGTCTCAATTCTAATATTTAGATATTTGAAATATAAAAGTTGTATATTATGTATGACCTATTTCTGATAGGGGTAAATATGAAATATATTTTAAAAAAAATTTAAAAATATTTTAAAATGTATACTTATCCACAAATATGTCATTAAATAGAGAACTTAAAAGAGAATAAATTTAAAGGTAGAAATTAAAGTTCAATATGTTCCGAAAAAGGTACCCGCCCCATTATCTCTTTAAATTTCATTTTGAGTCATATATCCACAAGTGTTCACTTTGTGTGGTCTATTTTTCCGATATGGCAGCGACGGCAACGATAACCAAAGTGTCGGCAATTTCCTCCTCAACGTCAGATCTCCGGCGGCCAAACCCTACAGGGAGAGCGATTATAGGTTCCAAGAGAAGCACCGTTGGAGTTGGAGTCAGCAGCATACCCTTGCCTACGACGTCGTTTATTCGGTTGACCTCTGTTCGAGCTTCGAAACCCCAAAAGGAGGAAATAAATTCGAACGCAGATGATACTGATCGTGCCTTCATATTATCACAGGTCTGCTCTTCTCTCTCTCCTAAAATCCATATCTCATAATGTGGGAATCACATAGTCTTATTGAGAGACAAATATAATTTTATGATGAATTAAAACAGGAGGATTGGAAGTACTTGGTGCAACTAGGAGGTGGTTCGGTGGTGGGTGGGGCTGCAATAAAGTATGGAAGCGTTCTTTTTCCCCAGATAACGAAACCAAATATATTCATAGCTCTGATTATGATTTCTGCTCCAGTTGTTGTAGCTGTTTGGCTTTTGATCAAGCAAAGTCATTTAGATTCAAAGGCCTAATTTGTTGGATTGGATACTCTTTTGAGGATGTGAAGCAAATACCAGGGGACTTCCGGACTGCCCATTCTCCCTCTCTCTTTCAACAATCGTTCATCCTGTCAAGTTTTATTTTGGTTTATGCTTTTGATATGGTTGATTTGGGTTTTCATCTGAGTATCAAACTCCTTTCAAATAAGACTAAGAAGTCACTGATTTATAATATTTCCGATGCTGCCTCATAAAGATTGGTTTCAAATTCTGTTTCATGCTCAATGGTCTCACCACCCACCTTCTTGTCAAGTTCTTAATGCTTCTGAATGTTTAAGAGTCATGGATCTTAAACAAAAAAAAGAGAGAGAGAGAGAGAGAGAATTACACCTACATCCTTTGAAGTTTGACATTTTATCACTCAAACCCTAGACATTTAAAATATTACGCATATACTTTCTGAAGTTTTTTCGCGCGTAACACTTAGACTTCTATTGTCCATGTTTGTTAATATATTCGTTAATAAATTACACTCAGACGCTTTGAGATTTGTAGGCATATAATGCTTAAACATCTAAGTTTAAAATATTATACTTAAACTAAAAATACTTCAATCAAAGATAAAAAAAAAATTAAATATTTTAAATTTTATAATTAAAATTCATATTTTATTGTATTTTTTGAAATAAAATTAAAAATAAAAATTCAATTTTTTCTTAAAAAATAGTAATTAGTATACCATTATACCACCTATTGAAATAAAACTAAAAAAATCAAATAATGGGTCTAAGTCATTCATAATAAAACATGAATTTTATATCCAAAATTTATGTTCTATTATGTCATTTATTGAAATAAAATTAAAATTAAAAATCTAATTTTGTCTTAAAAAATCATAATTAGTATACAATTATACTATCTGTTAGAATAAAACTAAAATATTAAACAATTGGTCAAACTGTAATGAATACAATATTTTCTAGCTTTAATTTGTAATTAACACAATATCTTCTTAACTTTAATTAGGGTAGTTTAGTATTTTATTAAATTTTAATAAATAGTATAATTATATATTAATTATAATTTTTTTTAAAAAAATAAATTTTAATTTTAATTTTATTCCAATAAATGTCATAATAGAATATGAACTTTAATTGTAAAATTTAAAATATTTTGATATTCTATCTTTAATCGAAATATTTTTAATCTAAATATAACATTTTAAATTTGAGAGATCCAAATATTACATACCTACAAATTTTAGGAGGTTTAAGTATAATTTACTATCTGTAATATTTCAAATGTCAGTCAAAATAATTGACAAATCTCAACAGATCTGTGTAATTTCTTCCCCCCACCCACCCAAAAAAAAAAATGTTTGAGAGCCACAGTCAAATGGAGTCTGTTTCTAAGAGAGGCTTTTGATAACCAGAAACTAATCTAACTGATTAACTAATCAGTTGTAACTAATCAACTGATATTTGTCATGTTGGCATTCTATTAAATTCTAGTTGTATTTTCAATGTCTTCTTATAAATATTGAAGGCATACTCTTATAAACTGTTAAGTATTTTACAATGAAGATTGAGATCTGAATTTCATTCTGTCCTCTGTGTGTTTCTCTATCTATAAAAGTCATCATGGTATCAGAGCCATAAGAGACAAAAGTCTTCATCAATGGCAANTTTTTATAGGCAACTCAACCCTTTCCATCTAAAAATAAGATTTGAAGGCTTAAAAAAAAAAAAGCAAAAGGCCATTACTTTTTATAGGCAACTCAACCCATCCCATCTCCCCTCATTTTTAAATGTGGGAGAAAAACAAAAAGCATTGGTTTGTCTTTGTCTTTGAAGTACTCCTCATCTCTTTTCTTTTGTCTTTGAACTACTACTTTTTTTTTTTTTTTTTATTGATTTCTTTCCTTCTTTTTTTCTTGCTAATTTTTTAAAATAATTATTAATTTATTGTTATATTAATTTTATTTAAACGGGTAAACGTGTAATAAACGGTTTGACAAGTCTCACCCGAACACGACCCGTTTATCACCCAAACCCGCTTAATTCGTGTCAATTCATATCAGTTAATCGTGTCGTGTCGAATTTTGACAGCCTTAGATAGTATGGTTGCATATACCCATGTACACCACTTCTGTAATTTCTTAAGCATATTTCAAGATGGAAGAGATTAAGGTATGCTATTCTGCAATTAAAGAAAACATAGTCACAGGTCAACTGCACAACTATCAAAAGAACTTGATCAAAGAACTAGCATAATGGAATACCTGATGCGTTTTGGTATACCAATTTTAATTGTGAACAAGTGGTCACCGCGAATATTTGGCCGGTTCAGTTTTGGTACACCTTTCCTTGTCAAGACAAGCACATCCCCAGGTTGAGTACCAGGAGGAATTTGGAGCTCGGTAATCCCTTCAACTGTCTTGACCTATATATAATGTCAAGGAATAATCAAGTTGTTAGTACACAGGACACCAAACAGAAATTGCAGAAGATCTTCACTCAATTGCATACCACAAAGATCTGAATGAAATATGCAGAATTTACGAGATTTGAGAGAGAGAGAGAGAGAGGCACATTCCAGTATCTACTTGCTCCCTCATAGAAAAGTTCCTCTGTTCATGTCCCTAGCTTCCATTAGAGCCTTTAGAGGCAAGGGAAGGATAAATAGGGAGAGCCTCGCCTATATGTTAGGTTTGTGGTTTGAGAAGACACGTATCGCAACGGTTAGGGGATCTAATCTGCCAAAATACTTAAGGCATAGGGATTCAGAGAGTGCATTACGTGGTTCGAGGGAAATTCAGCCACAATTTGCAGATGAAAATGAAAGGGGAGCATGAACTGTGCCCACACACTCATTTGTTACGTGCAAAAGATATGAATGGCTCATAGTCAAACTGCTACCTTGGCAGCAAGTCAGGAGCAAACTAACCACCAGGCTACCGGCAAGCATGTGCTGCAAATGTCTTCTTTTATTATAATTTCCATTACTTAATGCTGGCACATTTATTCATACAAAAGATGCATTAAGATTGTTAATGACATTTGAAATCATTTATATTCGCTTCTTAGATGCTCTAGCTCTTCTAACTATTTAATATTTGCGCTCTTGCTTTTGCTCGGTCATTTAAGTTGAGATAAGATATCAAGAGATTTTCCTAAAAAACAAGACAACCAATAAGAATCCAAAAGGAAACAGAAGCACTCCATCAACTACCGAAAGAACATGACTGTAAACAAGATTAAGTATGTTAAACAAACTGACGAAAAATCAAATTAAATTTACCTCAACAACAGTCCCTAATATGNAACCAGCACAATAGTTCCCAACATTTGATGGGACATTGGCATGCCATTAGATTAGCACTCACCTGTTACGTCTAGAGCTAAAGTTCTTACAATGGAGACCATTGACCTTACCTACAGCTATAACAAAGAATTTCTCATATCTTCAATGACACAACTCTTGTTGAATCAGCATCAACTAGATAAAGGTTGATTCTAAGACAATTATGGGTAAAACATTAGAATGGTCAAGAAAAATGGAGTTGTTCTTACTTACACGATCTTGTAGATGATGGAAACCATTTTGAATGCCAGAAAAAGTCAATTAAGATTAAATGGNACATGCTGGAATGGGGAAAAAAATGTCAATGAGTAGAGAAATATAAGACTTTTTCATACGTATCTTCAAATGACTAAATAAGCACACATATAATAGAAGCATAAGTCGGTCAAGTTTAAATTGTCGCATATCATAGAAGTCTACCAAGTACACCCAGAACACATAGCAGAAATAAAGGATACCAACTGGCTTATATAACTTTACATATTAGATCTAACTTGGTTGTTTATTATGCGAATGTTCATTCGACATNATGCCCATGCATATATCTAAGGATAATAGAACACTAATGATGATGTGTCCTTCCTTGCTCTCAATTAAGAGCCTAGAAGTTTACAACAATCCCTTTCATCTAGGAATATGACACAAACCAGGGAAAAATAGGAATATGGCATGAAGAAAATGATAAAAGTATGGGGTATAATAGTTCCAATATATTTGTTGAGTCTGTCATTGATTTGATAATGTAGGTGCTTTTACAATCCATTCAGCCTAATTCATATTCACCATCCACAGTAGTAATAGAAGAAAATTACCCAGCAAAATCTTTTAATTTCTTCCACAGGTCATTTTGATCTTCCGATTTATTAGTCTCCTCCGCGACAGTATTTATCGGAGTATCTGTAGTTTTAACTGCAAAAACAAAACATCATATTCAAATCGCAAAATCCAGATAAGTTATTGAAAGTAGAATCTGAAAAAGTTCTATACTGTAAAAAGTTCTGAAATTTATTTCTCATACATGATGTCTGAAAATAGAAAAAAATGGCAAAGCAACTTAAATTATGTCATCCATGCGCACACATAAATAAATGAATCGCAAAATATGTCTAAAGTATATGAAATTTAGAATAGGTACTTCAAACATTTAATTTAATGAAAAACTGTTCAGCTAATAAAGCAACTACGAACCAGTTTGCCGAACTTTAGGACGAGTTGGTGAACGGCTGCTGGGAGTGCTACTCAGAGAAGCAAGTTCCTTGAGCAATTCACGCTCCCTCGAACTGTATTATAAATTACAGCTTTCAAAAATAAATTTAAGAGAAACTTTGTTCTTTTTTCATAACTAAACAACATTGGTAACATAGAGAAACAAAAGCAACAAGTACCAAGGAAGGCATCATGTTTGTTAGTCAAAAATAGACATCCTGGAGAAGCCAATCACATCAACACCATGCTAGTCACATCATTATAGAGAAAAGGAAAGCATACCAACAGACCACCACGGGGTTGGGATTTTCAATTTTTTATTTTTTTCCATTGTGCGTGTGTGGGTGTGCGGTGAGGTGGGATAGGGAGGAGAGAACCGAAAAATTCAATCAACACCCTCACGGACATNATTAGGAATGACAAAGCCATGCAACCCTTGACATCTGCTAGTACCAAATCAAATTGGATTATCAACTCTGGACATGGAACAAAGGGGAAAACAAAAAATTTTGATCAGAAACATACATCAAAACCCATAGCTAAAGATCAACAGTGCAAACAATAACTCGTCTACATACCCTTTTGGTCCAGCATCCCCCTCTCCAGCAACTCTAAGAATACTTCCCTTGCTAACTCCAAGAGGAATTTTGACTTTAATGTCTTTCTTGACACGAATACGACCCCCACCAGAGCACCTACGGCAATACTCCGAAATAGTTTCACCATTCCCACCACAATTTGGACATACAGAAACCTAAAAGTCATTGAAAAGAAGAATACTATAAGAGAAGATAAATGATAATTCTATGATGCCCTATTTTAACTCAAGTTTAGCAAAAACAGCTGTCAGGTAAAATAATAAATTTGATAAAGCTACTTCCTCCTGCAATCCAAGTTATTGCGAGAGTACTTCCACCCTAACCTCCTCTCAGTAGCCAATTCTTCACCAATGGCAAAAAGCTCTACATATGATTTGCCAAAAATGATTCAATCATTCAGGTTCAGGGACAAACTGTTGCGAAACAATTGAAATTAGAAGGGTAGCCACTTTCATATCATGAACTCAATTTGTTGCATTACAGGACACTTGCTTTTAGAAGTGAGGAAGGAATGATATGAAGGGTATATTATTTTTTTTCTACTATCATAACACATGAAGTATATTTAATACCTGGAAGAGTAGCATTGGACAACTGAGGAAGAAATGGGTAAAACTTAATAATCAATACTGAATAAAAGATTCCTCCAATGGTATCCAATTCAGTTGAACCAGTATGAATCAACCTCTATGAGATAGATATTTTATGGTGAGAGAAAGAAAAACGATGAGATGGTATGTTGGTGCCACTTGAAGGAGAGAAATAGACATATTGTTGAGAATTGAACACTACCTGTTCAGTTATCTATGAAAAGTCCTATAACCATTCTCAATTATATAAAATAGTCTGTTCACACTTCCATTGTTCTAAATTTTCAGGTATGGGTAGGAAATACCTTTTTGCACCCCTGCCCCCCACCGGGGGGCGGCTCTTCTCCACTTTAACATTGGCAGCATAGAACCTATTTATTGAATGATGTTACCCAATGTTTTACTAGACAGTTCATCTATGAAGCACAGACACTCTCAAGAAGATGATGTATTCATGTTGGACATGTGTATAACACCGACACTCTTCGGATACTCTCGGTGAATTTCCATAATTAAAAGATAAAAATCTTAATTTCGAAGTGTTTGACATTTCTTCAGACCATGTCTCCTATTAAATAATAAACAAGTGTTAACATGAGATTAACAAACCCTAAAAATTTGACTAATTAATATCTTACTGTATGAGAGAATATAAAATTATCAAGACTACTCAAATATAAGTTGTACATAAAATATAATAATATAATCTAAAGATTCATAAAAGTTTTGCTAAAGAAGAAGTATTGAGAAAATAAGGGCAATCAGTTAGATTATATATTTAAAAATATAAGTTGTCTATAGAAAAATTGAAGATTATTGACTACTATGGTGCTTTAGTAAAAAATTCACTTCGGATGACTTTAAGTGAGATNATATAAGTTGTCTACAGAAAAATTGAAGATTATTAACTACTATGGTGCTTTAGTAAAAAATTCACTTCGGATGACTTTAAGTGAGATTTATTTCTCATAAAGTATTGAATTTTCTATGAATAACATTTCATTATCTCTATATTTGTGATAAATTATATAATTTAACATATAAAACACAATTATTTGTAGCGTGTCCTCAACGTATCCNAATATAAGTTGTCTATAGAAAAATTGAAGATTATTGACTACTATGGTGCTTTAGTAAAAAATTCACTTCGGATGACTTTAAGTGAGATTTATTTCTCATAAAGTATTGAATTTTCCATGAATAACATTTCATTATCTCTATATTTGTGATACATTATATAATTTAACATATAAAACACAATTATTTGTAGCGTGTCCTCAACGTATCCATGTCCTAATTATTGTGCAATGTCATGTTTGCCTTTTCGTATCGTGTTATATCAATGTCAGTGTTCATACTTCTTAGCTGTCCGTCTCATAGTTGCCAAAGTTCACTAAACCCCTAACGACCCAAATTTGGATACATCAATCCCAAATGGGGTGGTGGGCTCACGATTCAGATCACCAAAATGTACAATCTCAAATTGTACACGTAGTATAAATATAAAATACATATTAATTAACTACGTGTATATANGTTCACAATTCAGATCACCAAAATGTACAATCCCAAATTGTACACGTAGTATAAATATAAAATACATATTAATTAACTACGTGTATATAGATATTATTTTAAATAATAGAAAATCGAGCATAAATGTAAGATAAAGGATAATTAACTTAGTGTTTATGATGTTCTATGATATATAATGTTGTATAGCGATAAAAAAAGACCTAACTAAGAGTTCTAAAGTGAATTTCGACCCAAAATACTATATCAGCTAAGCCTACCTCTAACATACCGTGTACTTAAGAAAATATTGTATTGCGTATCCGTACCCGTATCACGTACCAAAGCAACCCACAATCCAAGTACCGTCTTGAGCAAATGTACCAACATCACGAGCAGATGTAAATGGCACCATACATAACCATAAGATTTACTATGACACTAGTAATAAATTTTCAATTATAGGACAATCTATTAGCAAAATCACTAATGGACATAATTCAAGCTTAATAGTCATAATAATCAAGTAACAAGAGATCTTGTATCTTTATGTTCCACATTACATAAGTAATGTTGAAGCAAGTGATCAATGGACCATTAGTTCAGCATCATACAAGTAATAAACTTTGAAGCAATGAGCAGACCACATAGGTGAGAAAATAAGATAATAACCTGAGAAAATAAGCCAAAAGGCGTTTGCTCAGTTCGCATAACTTGACCCCTGCCACCACATGTTGAGCATATTCTCTTCTTAGAGCCTATTTTTGCTCCAGTACCATTGCAAATATCACATGTTTCAAGATGTGAAAGTTGAAACTCTTTCTCTGCTCCAAATATAGCAGCCGAAAATTCTAGTGTTATGTCATAACTGAAGCACATTCCAAATCAAAGTCAATCCTAATATTCTCTACAGCCAAACAAGAGTGATTTCATCATGAAACATAACAGCTACATAGAGTGAATAAAACACTAAAAGATTACATTTAAATCTTGACTCACCGTATATCTTCACCTTTAGTAACAGTACTGCGAGGGCGTGTTCCATAGCCAGTTGTATCCATTCCAGGAAAACCACCCATACTAGGCCCAAAGAATGCCTCAAATAGATCAAAAGGGTTCGTCTGCAACAGAATAGCAATAAGTATCCGTCAAATGTCAGCAAGTCGGAATTAACATATTATTATGCAAATGCCAAGCACAAATTGCAATCTGCCCTAGTTGCTTATTATCTCTAGGTTATTAACGTAATTAGCATGAATTAATTATGAGGTCATTTTCTTCATGGTAAATAACTCTCTTGTTTCTTGCATTTAAAATCCACCACCACTTTCACCTATACTAATTTTTTTTTTATTTTTAAAAAAGCAGCACTTCAACTAGAAAAACGGAAGCAACATACAAAATTAATGTTTTCATTCGAAGAATATGAGCATGTAAATGAAGTGAGAACAGTGATTGATATCTTTCGTATGCTTGCAAAAATAAAATTTGATGTTTTAGGCACAAAACAGCTTCAGCAAATTTTTCCCCCTTAACTACCAGGAGAGAGCATAAAATGAAATTCAATGTACCGAAATATTTCTACACAAAGACAGTTAGGAGAAAAAGCAACATATACTGAAAATTGGTGCTTCACAGAGGCGTGAGCATCTCTATAAATAATGCCTTAAGGGACAGATGATGAGCAGTTGACTATTCTCGGCTCTGTTAACGATGGAGGACACATGGGCCCCCAAAAGAAGGTTCATGGATATTTGTGTACTCAGCTTAGTGATACCAATGATAGGAAAGTTTTTTAGTTCTTTAAGCATGGACTAGCTTTCTTTCATGCATCACTTCAAGATGAAATACAACAAAAAAAATATATATTTATACCGTGTAAGCCCCAGCTTGCCCCCCTACTGTACTTTTTACTCCAGCTTCACCATATTGATCGTATAAAGCCCTCTTTTTGTCATCTGATAATACCTGGCAATGTTATACATCAGAATTCAAAAGAACAAAACAATGAACGTGAATAACTGATTGAGGCGCGGTATGAAAAGTTGGACATCGTAGCATGCTAATAGTATTACTTGACTTGATAGGACTACAATGAGACGATTTCAACAAAATCAACAATCAAGGGCATCAAGGTAAAATTAAATTTATCATACCTCATAAGCAGCACTGATCTCCTTAAACTTCTCAGTCGCTCCAGGTTCCTTGTTGACATCAGGATGGTACTAAAGAGAGACGAAATAAAGATTTTAGGAATCATGGAAAAAGTAAAGGAAGCCATGTCCCATGCCAACTAGAAGGTGCTGTTGGTGAAGTACCCAAAATGGGCAAATTTCATGTTTACAAAATATGAATTCCATCCTTCCATACAACAATAATTCAGCCAGCAAAGTTATGAAGCGTTAAAATATACATCTTAAGATTAATGATCCTCGTTGCAAATAGACAAAAATCCCACTGTTCTTATGAGCATGATCCTACGAGTGAAAATTTCACCTAACACATTAAGACGTCCTTTTTTTTTGCAATGAGTCTCACATCGTAATGTGTGGGTGTATGACCACCCATTTAAGGTTTCAACATGAACCGACTTCAAATTACCCCAAAAATCACAATTCTCAAACACCCATTAAGGATTTCAAAAGAAAATTTCCACACTTTTGCTAACATCACATTATGATTTGTCAATTACCCATAAGAAATTTCAACAAAAGAACACATATAATCCTATAGAACCACAACAATGCATAGTCTAAGGAGAAATAAATAACAAAGCCTAATGGGTTTAGTACCTGTCGAGCTAACCTTCGATAAGCCGCCTTGATTTCCTTAACACTGGCCGATTTGGTTACTCCGAGAGTAGAGTAATAATCTGCNCATATAGAACCACAACAATGCATAGTCTAAGGAGAAAAAAATAACAAACCCTAATGGGTTTAGTACCTGTCGAGCTAACCTTCGATAAGCCGCCTTGATTTCCTTAACACTGGCCGATTTGGTTACTCCGAGAGTAGAGTAATAATCTGCTGCCGCAGCAACCACCAATCTTCCAAACCGTTTCGCAGATATCTTTTTGTTGAACTGAGACGAAGGTGAAGAAATAGAGATGAATTTCGTGTGGGTCCAAAGATGAGTCCCACTAGCGAAGAAAGAAGACGATGAAGAAGAAGACGTTGAGGTGCTCGATGGGAAGATACATTGAGGGCGCTCGGGAGTGAAACTGAGAGAAGAAGAGAGGAGAGAGAGAGTTGTGGTAGTCATTGCAGTTTTCAATGGGGCTGTGAAAGTGTTTGTTGATTGTCCTAAGAGAAGAAGAAGTGTTTGATTTGGTTCGTTCCCATGAGCATTTACCCGTGCTGGTTGTTCGTTTAGAGAGAGAATGAGAATGCTTTTATGGATGAAAAGGTGTGGGAACCAAAACATGTGGTGTTCGGGGTCGCATGGCATGTGTGCGTGTGTATATATATGGTCCGCATTGTTAAAAAATTCAAGAAAATAAAGTTGTTAAAGAGTCAAAATTACATTTTTTACTAACGAGCATTTGGTTATGGGCAAAAATTTAAATTTTTCTGTCCAATATTTGAGTTCAAATCTCCACAATTATGACAACACATTGAGGTTCAACATATTTTTCAGCACTCAGAGTATACGATGAATCAACCGCGTGTTATTAAAAAATTCATTAAAGTTCAACATACTTATTAGTACTCAAAATACGCGTTTGGACCTTTGTTTTAGACCTGACATAAGTGTAATCGAATCCCTTACAGATAGCTGNACCATTTGGTTCTAGGCAAAAATTTAAATTTTTCCGTCCAATATTTGAGTTAAAATCTCCACAATTATGACAACACATTGAGGTTCAACATATTTTTCAGCACTCAGAGTATACGATGAATCAACCATGTGTTATTAAAAAATTCATTAAAGTTCAACATACTTATTAGTACTCAAAATACGCGCTTGGACCTTTGTTTTAGACCTGACATAAGTGTAATCGAATCCCTTACAGATAGCTGTGTGATTTTGATGGACAATACTCCTAAGCAAATATGTGAAATTACTTATTTACATTTCCATTTCTTTTTTCCTTTGTGAAACATCAATTCTTTCATTTAAATAGGAAAATCTAAAATACAATCGGTCAATAAGAAATCCTTTAGCTCGGATGGAGGGCATTTGATCCAACTCGGTGGAAGAGAGTTGTTCATGACCAAAGCTGCAATCCAATGAGCAGTCTTCTTGTTACAAGCTCTTGACTTGTGCGAAAAATTAAAATTATATAACTTAGTATAATGTCTTGTATCTTCCATAAAAGAACTAATCTCCCATGAAAAAACATACTTAGTTCAACTGAGTTTGATAATCTCCAAGTAGTCACTTTCTATTATGATATCTTTGATAAAATGAAAATACTTTGACCTAAATAATATCACTTTCTATTATGATATCACTGAATTATATTAAATAATAATTTTATTTTTTTTCATTTTTTTTATTATATCATTCAAAATTTATTTTTACCTATTATTTTCTTAAAAATATTGACAATTTTTTTAAAAAAATACATGAATCGATAAAATTTTCTCAACATATGTATACTATTGTGTATAGATAATATTTAAAATAAAAATTATATTAAACTACAAATTAATCAAATATTAAATGATTAAATATGTGATAAAAATAAGTGATGTGATAATTTTGAGAGGAAAATGTATAAGGGATAAAATTCAACTTCCTATGTGTTTTATTATATAGATGGGTACTCGTTGGACTTCCACAAATATATCATTTTATAATTCTAATATAAACTATTTTTTATATCTCAATAACTAAAAATAAAAAGTTACATGTCTTTCGACTAGTTTGGAAGTAAGACTACGAGTATGGATAAAACAGTGTTTGNTGATCTCCAAGTAGTCACTTTCTATTATGATATCACTTTCTATTATGATATCTTTGATAAAATGAAAATACTTTGACCTAAATAATATCACTTTCTATTATGATATCACTGAATTATATTAAATAATAATTTTATTTTTTTTCATTTTTTTTATTATATCATTCAAAATTTATTTTTACCTATTATTTTCTTAAAAATATTGACAATTTTTTTAAAAAAATACATGAATCGATAAAATTTTCTCAACATATGTATACTANAGATAATAATTTTATTTTTTTTTATTATATCATTCAAAATTTATTTTTACCTATTATTTTCTTAAAAATATTGACAATTTTTTTAAAAAAATACATGAATCGATAAAATTTTCTCAACATATGTATACTATTGTGTATAGATAATATTTAAAATAAAAATTATATTAAACTACAAATTAATCAAATATTAAATGATTAAATATGTGATAAAAATAAGTGATGTGATAATTTTGAGAGGAAAATGTATAAGGGATAAAATTCAACTTCCTATGTGTTTTATTATATAGATGGGTACTCGTTGGACTTCCACAAATATATCATTTTATAATNTGAGTGATGTGATAATTTTGAGAAGAAAATATATAAGGGATAAAATTCAACTTCCTATGTGTTTTATTATATAGATGGGTACTCGTTNTAATCTCCAAGTAGTCACTTTCTATTATGATATCTTTGATAAAATGAAAATACTTTGACCTAAATAATATCACTTTCTATTATGATATCACTGAATTATATTAAATAATAATTTTATTTTTTTTCATTTTTTTTATTATATCATTCAAAATTTATTTTTACCTATTATTTTCTTAAAAATATTGACAATTTTTTTAAAAAAATACATGAATCGATAAAATTTTCTCAACATATGTATACTATTGTGTATAGATAATATTTAAAATAAAAATTATATTAAACTACAAATTAATCAAATATTAAATGATTAAATATGTGATAAAAATAAGTGATGTGATAATTTTGAGAGGAAAATGTATAAGGGATAAAATTCAACTTCCTATGTGTTTTATTATATAGATGGGTACTCGTTGGACTTCCACAAATATATCATTTTATAATTCTAATATAAACTATTTTTTATATCTCAATAACTAAAAATAAAAAGTTACATGTCTTTCGACTAGTTTGGAAGTAAGACTACGAGTATGGATAAAACAGTGTTTGGTGCATTTTGGTGCATTAGGAATAAGATTGTTGCAATTAAAATGGTTGCTTCCGGTACTGCTGAGTAACTCTCCCCAAGCTTGTCCCTAGAAGCTCAGTAAAGCTATTGCAGAGGAATTACTAGCAGGTTGCAATCAAGCTCCAACTTCAGAGGTTTTGCTTGCGGTTGCAGCCCTGTCGCCGACTTCAGAACAACAGCCCTTCCATCACTGGGCATTAACAGATTTGCTAATCTTTTACCAGCAAATGATCAACATATGCTTCAAGCTCTTGTTTCAGATGTGGTGGTATGAATAGGACATCATCTTCTTGAATGTTGTCTACTAAAAATCAGTTCTATCTCACAGAAGCCATGACCACAAAGGGATAGTTTGATCTGGGTTCAGAGATGGGCTAAGCAGCACCATACCACACCACAAAGGTTCATTACCGAGCATACCGAGTCCATGTCTCCATCTAACATAATAGGCCACGCATTGCATTACCTCCTCCACAGATGACGTCGCAAAAATCTACCTGGACACACTAAAACAAAAACTCCCACAAACGTTTTTCTTCAAAATGGAACAATTGAGACCTGATCTGAAGTAACCCACAGATGTCCATGAAAACAAAAGAAAACACAACAAAAACTTCACAGCTAACCAAACAAATATTGTAGACTTCCATTTTTCACATTAATCCTGATATTGATCGAGGCTTTATCAACTTAGTAGTGACACATCTGCAGTTCTGAACCGGGAAAGGCCATAGACAAAAACAGCCCCAACCCAACATACATACATTGTCTTGCAAATCTAGCTCTTGCAACAAACATATTGTATACAACCTTTAGCTTAACACCCTGTGTGAGCTAATAATGTAGCTTGCTTTGCTAAGTAATTTCCCAAGTTCCTTATCTTTATTAGAAGACATCTGGATGGAATCGTCCAGGAATGGAGTTGTTCTGTTGAGCTTCCCGCAAATGCATCATCAAAGCATAGTTGTTCACCTGCAACCATGAAATTGAAATCAGGGAAATATTTTTGATGGAAATATAAATATGGTAAGTTTTCTTTTCAAACTCCTTTGGAATTTGGCCAATTATGTAACTGAAAATACGTCATTGTAGATCAGGGTTGCAAAATGCAATTAACACATTTTGCTTAAAATTATTTTCCCTTTTCTTTTCTGGGTAGGGGTGGTGGGTGGGGGGAACTTAATTCTGCCATGCCCTCTTGTTTTTCAAGAACAAGAAGCTAGGCATCTCTTTTAAGTTTCTCCTTTTTTTTTATGCGCCAGTGGATCTAGAATTTCTTTTTAACATGACATTTCTAATGGCTTATTTTGTTTTGCATTTTAAAAGCATTTGACATGATTCTTCCCAAAAACACAAAAGGAACTGANTATGCGCCAGTGGATCTAGAATTTCTTTTTAACATGACATTTCTAATGGCTTATTTTATTTTGCATTTTAAAAGCATTTGACATGATTCTTCCCAAAAACACAAAAGGAACTGAACTGATCTGATCTGACCTCAAGAGCTCTCAACTGCTCCTGGTATTGAGACACCAACTGCTTCAAATTCTGCACCTCTTGGTTCCTATCATCATACTCCTTCTGACGTTCATGCTGAATAGCCACGGCACGTTTGAGAATGCTATTCTCCCGGAGAAGTACTTCAATTTGCTCCTTGAGCACCATATTTTCCTGGTGACATAAGCATAACTATATAAACTGGCAGAACCAGAAGAAAAATATATTTTACTTGAAAGTAGGATATACCAGCTTATGAATTCAAATATAATCCTCAGCACAGCAGGCACCCTCTACTTGCTTCCCTTTCTTCACCAATAGTATGCCTAAGCACTATGTTTTTTCATCATACCTTTCCCATGCAAGGAGCCAGATCAAGATGTCTAGAATGGTTCCCAAGTTTTATATTTTTCCCGTGCCAGATTCCCAGATAGATGTGTAAGCCACATCAATAACAGAACAATATCAAACTGGACAAAGGGTGGTCCTAGATTACTAAGTGAACACCATCACCCTCTGCCATCCCTAGTTTCATAGCCGGCCACTAAAGGTGATTTTTCCAGGCATACAATTGAGACACCCCTACCAGACTACAATGGTAATATAGAATACATGAAAAAGAGACATGTGCATTAATAAATAATACCAACCTTATGAAAACTTTGTGCTGCCTCAGAACCACCATGTACACTGATGGATTTCTCTAAACTCTCCAGCAATCTTGTCGCGCGGAATCTAGCATCATCTAGGCTAGTAGCAGTCATCATTTCCCTGACAAACAATTCCACCCATTCCACACCATCAAGAGGACAGTTGTTCTGGGCCGAAGGATCCCTTGAAGAAGCCTTGTCTTCATCAGTGGCAGCTGTACCTGCCAATTTTCATACAGAGGTAAGATTCTGGCCTCTGAGACACCAAAAATAGATGAAAGTATATTCTGCTTAGTGTTTAAGCTATAAAATTGTAGTATCAGATTTAAAACAAGGGATGCTAACAATGTGATTACTGATTCAGGCGTGTCATTAGAGGGAAAGTCAAATCAAAATGATAGCTTATTTTAAATAGATGGTGGGTTTTCACATTGACGATCCCAATGCAACTCAATGTTTGAAAAAGGTGATCAAGCTGCTACCAAGAATTGAACAAGCCTCCAGATGCAGTTAATGATACAATTTTGAAAGGTTTTTGAAGATAAATTCATGAATCCAACTTTATATGATATTGCATCCTAATCAACGAGGAATTTAGAATCTATTTACATATCAGCAGTATAGAAAACTTCCAGACACTACTGTTATAAATGAAGCCAAATCTTAAAGTACTTATCATACCCTGACTCTACAATTTATTCCACCTTTGGCACTAATGAAATTGCAATGAAAAACCATGCAAGACAATGATGAACCAGAAACTGTAAGCTCAAACTCTACTGTGTTCATTTGTGCAACTTAAACACATACCTTTGTCCATAACTTTATTTGTTTGCAAAGAACCCACAGTTTGTCCAAGGCAAAGCTCATGCAGGCTCCTGATAGTAGAGTCTAGATCATTGCCACACTCCTCTAGCGCTCTCTCAAGAAGCTGAAAGGTAATACGAGAAGCATCAATGAATAGTAATCCCAACAATTGGTGAAGAAAAACATCTTCCTAATTAGGCAGGTAATAACTTTGAAAAAAAAAACTCCCCAGAGCTAAGAGGCAAATTAAATTACAATTAGCTGAAAACAAAAAACCATTTTCAGATTTTAGGATGAGAAGGAATATGCCATGAAACAGATGATCTGTAAAATTACGAGAATACTGAATATAATAAACTTAAATAACGAAGCAAACCAGTCTTTCCCAAACCATGCTGTCATTTCAAATTGATTTGGCAAAAAATCTACTTGTAAATGTCTTAGGAAAGTAGACGAGCCACATAAAGATTCAGCACACTTTTACCCATCATCGCTGCCACATTTAAAAACAACATCTAGGCGGAGGCCTTGGCGACAGAGGACTATCTGACAAGACATGATTCCATATATTTGAAGGGGCTAACCTTGGTATTCCAGGTCTTTTGCAAATAGTTTCATTATCATCGTACATTGAAGAAAAAAATTGGTAATCAACATCTTATTCTTACAGGTTATCATTATTTGAACTCATTCTCTAAACAAAAGTAACAATAAAACCCAAAAAAGGCATTAGATCATACTCATATACAAAGCAAACCCTTCACAAAAGGATTCACAATTTCGTAGTATTATAGAGTTGTTATAAAATGAAGACCCAATCTATTTACCATCACCAAACAAAATAATTAAAGCTAGTCACATAAGAAATTCATTTCCTTTCAGCACCAAATAACATTGAGAGATAAAAGGAAATAATAATCAACCGGTCAGATCTAATCGAGTATTATAACCAGGAACACTAAACCATTCAGCTAATTATGCTATTAAACATAAATCCAAAACCAACAACGTAAAGAAAGACATAAACAGAGAAAGAGATTGAGAGGGATAAAAGGGAACCTGCTCGTCCATTTCAGGAAAGACAGCCCTGAGTTGATCGACAAGAGTCGGCGGCGAATGAGAGAAAGGTGAGAACCGAACCGGAGAGGTCGAAGAAGAAGAACAACGAAGCTTCTTAGAAACAGGTGGCGATGCAGACGTAGGCGATGACGGAAGGTCTTCGAAGAAAGATCTCTTGCCGCAAACTATTGCAGACATTGTTCAATCTCTGTCTACTCTTTGTTGCTTAATCTCTCGTCCCCAATACCCTCTACTCAGATCGATTCAACCCTCCTTATCTACAATTGTGCGTTAATTTATACGTACAAACACGAGAGAGGGAGAGATTTCTGATCGTAGATTCAAAAATTAGGTTTTGGGCTTTGGGGGTTGCATTTAGTGCAAGGAAGCTAGAGAGAGAAATTCGAAGTTTTTCTTCGGCGATACTTTTTCTTTCTTTTAGCTTTGGACAGGTGCGGTGGCGTTCCCTTTCCTTTATATAGTAGCGGTGATGTGGATGACGACGACATGAATTGTGCAGAAGGTTAGTATCATCACGCGCCAGTAATTACTTGTGTGAAACTTCCTGAATTGGGGGCAAGTAAAAATAAATGGATTAATTGCCCCTAAGTTTTTCAAATATAGAGATTATTTTATTTTGTATCTAATATTTTAATTATATTATTTTTATTTTTAAAATATTAAATATATTTTTATTTGATCCCTCAAACAGTAANAGATTATTTTATTTTGGTATCTAATATTTTAATTACATTATTTTTATTTTTAAAATATTAAATATATTTTTATTTGATCCCTCAAACAGTAAATATCTAAATTACCAATAGTTTTTTATTATAAACTTATAATGTGATAACTAAATATTGGTAAAAAATAATTTGGGTAATTTTTAACCAAAATTTGAGTAACTCTTGGCCAAATATGTGTCATATGGGTATCTTTTGATCAAAATTTAGATAATATATGATCAAAATTGTATAATTTTGGTAATTATTTAACCAAAATTNAGTTTTTAACCGGGTTAATCTCATTTTGCACCCCGAAAGATTGTTCGAATCTTAATTTGCACCCTCAAAGATCAAAAATCTCAATTTACACCCTCAAAGATAGAAATTTGTATCAATGTGCATCCCTAAAGATAAANAATTTTTAACCAAAATTTGAGTAACTCTTGGCCAAATATGTGTCATATGGGTATCTTTTGATCAAAATTTAGATAATATATGATCAAAATTGTATAATTTTGGTAATTATTTAACCAAAATTAGATTAAAAATTAGGTCAACAAATTATTTTTTTACCCATATTTAAATATTACGTGATAAATTTATTATAAAAAAAATCGTTAATAATCTGAACAATGCCTACTTAAGAGGTCACATAAAAATATTTTCAATATTATATGGAATAAAATGATATAAATAAAATATTGAAAACTAAAATAAAATAAATTCCATATTTTAGATACTTATAGTACAATTAACCTAAATTAAAATGAAAAGTGTATCGTGAGATTGAAATAAATAAATTTTAAATTTTTTCTGATAAATATAGGTACCCATACACACGGTGTCATTAATTAATAATAAAATATCAAGTAAATTTAGTAATAAGTTGTGTTGTTTTAATAATTACTAATAAATATCTTATCTAATAACTGCCGTTTTAGAATAGTGAAGTTTAGAAATTATATTTGTTATTTTTTAATTAGTTGGTATTTTAAAATTGATTTAGAATTGTAAATTTTTTTTTGATTTGGTTGACTGATGGTTATTGATTATAAAATAAAGTAATATAATTTTACACATGTAACGATACCATTGTTTTTCTTTCAGGCGAGAAGAGAGGAATTTTGAGATTAAAAGTGGGGTATATCTACTTGAAAAAACAATCTCACGAGCAACATAAAGGTTCCTTGACTAGGAGAATGGGATATGGTCCAAGATGGGTTTAAATGATTCGTGCAAGACATTGAAATGTGTTCTTCCACGTATTATCTAAACTCAAGAATGGGAAACTGTTCAAGACAGAAATAGATTGACATTTTTGGTTGTTTGTACTAAGTGAATGATGTCTTGTAAGAAACTTCTCCTTTATTAAATTCAAAAACAAAAACGAATGAAGAAAAAGATAAAGAATGAGACATAAACATGCTATATGTCTCATGTTTAAATTCCCATACCACACAAACATAGGTTTAGTTATAATAAGTGATTTTATGGATGATTACATGCACCCGAAATTTGCATTATAGCCAAAAGTTCAAAAGATGTAGCATGATTCCCAATTCAAAAAATTTGAGAAACCAGGAAAAGATAAACAGGAGAAGGAGATTGCAAAAAGGTATGTGACTGGCATGTTGTTCAATTTTCTTCTGACTATGATATGGTAGTGGAGACCCGCAAACCCTGTTCTGAGAGCCAGAAGGCAATTCCTTGAGGAAATGGATTTTCTCTAGAGGGAGGTAAAACTAAACAAGTAAATACTCACTTTCAGAAAGAGCATGTAAATATAATCACACATCCTTATAAAAACCTGTAGTATTTACATATTTGTCATAGGAAGTTCATCATTTTCAGCATTACAGAATTAAGCAGTCATTTCATAGTAGTTGTGGATCCTCGGTATTACTATGTATGTTGGTCTTCTTGTGGGTTTGGTCGATTATCTAGCAGCAGCAGTAGTGGGAGCACCTTCTCCGAAGAGGATATTAGCAACAGGTGATGGAAGCCATGCTGATGAATTGCCACCAGTCGGGCCATCTCGAGCATGACCATCAACATGCACCTGAGGATTTCTGCGGCCCTTCTTAAGTGTNTTAATAAATATCAATAAAAATGGGTTACGTGTTATACGTGCAAAAATGTCATAAGATGTAGGAGTAATATTCTAAATGTGAAGAGATCTAAATGATTAACTGACAAATATGAGGGGATTTAGGTATAATTTATTAATTTAATTTTAGGTGCACATTGATACAAATTTATATCTTTGAGGGTGCAAATTGAGATTTTTTATCTTTGGGGTACACATTGATATAAATTTCTATCTTTGAGGGTGCAAATTGAAATTTTTGATCTTTGGGGGTGCACATTGATACAAATTTCTATATTTGAGAGTGTAAATTGAGATTCGAACAATCTTTCGGGGTGCAAAATGAGATTAACCCTTTTTAACCAAAATTTGAGTAACTCTTGGCCAAATATGTGTAATATGGGTGTCTTTTGATCAAAATTTAGATAATATATGATCAAAATTGTATAATTTGGGTAATTTTTTAACTAAAATTAGATTAAAAATTAGGTCAACAAATTATTTTTTTACCCATATTTAAGTATTACGTGATAAATTTATTATAAAAAAAAATCGTTAATAATCTGAACAATGCCTACTTAAGAGGTCACATAAAAATATTTTCAATATTATATGGAATAAAATGATATAAATAAAATATTGAAAACTAAAATAAAATAAATTCCATATTTTAGATACTTATAGTACAATTAACCTAAATTAAAATGAAAAGTGTATCGTGAGATTGAAATAAATAAATTTTAAATTTTTTCTGATAAATATAGGTACCCATACACACGGTGTCATTAATTAATAATAAAATATCAAGTAAATTTAGTAATAAGTTGTGTTGTTTTAATAATTACTAATAATTATCTTATCTAATAACTGCCGTTTTAGAATAGTGAAGTTTAGAAATTATATTTGTTGTTTTTTAATTAGTTGGTATTTTAAAATTGATTTAGAATTGTAAATTTTTTTTTGATTTGGTTGACTGATAGTTATTGATTATAAAATAAAGTAATATAATTTTACACATGTAACGATACCATTGTTTTTCTTTCAGGAGAGAAGAGAGGAATTTTGAGATTAAAAGTGGGGGATATCTACTTGAAAAAACAATCTCACGAGCAACATAAAGGTTCCTTGACTAGGAGAATGGGATATGGTCCAAGATGGGTTTAAATGATTCGTGCAAGACATTGAAATGTGTTCTTCCACGTATTATCTAAACTCAAGAATGGGAAACTGTTCAATACAGAAAGAGATTGACATTTTTGGTTGTTTGTACTAAGTGAATGATGTTTTGTAAGAAACTTCTCCTTTATTAAATTGAAAAACAAAAACGAATGAAGAAAAAGATAAAGAATGAGACATAAACATGCTATATGTCTCATGTTTAAATTCCCATACCACACAAACATAGGTTTAGTTATAATAAGTGATTTTATGGATGATTCCATGCACCCGAAATTTGCATTATAGCCAAAAGTTCAAAAGATGTAGCATGATTCCCAATTCAAAAAATTTGAGAAACCAGGAAAAGATAAACAGGAGAAGGAGATTGCAAAAAGGTATGTGACTGGCATGTTGTTCAATTTTCTTCTGACTATGATATGGTAGTGGAGACCCGCAACCCCTGTTCTGAGAGCCAGAAGGCAATTCCTTGAGGAAATGGATTTTCTCTAGAGGGAGGTAAAACTAAACAAGTAAATACTCACTTTCAGAAAGAGCATGTAAATATAATCACACATCCTTATAAAAACCTGTAGTATTTACATATTTGTCATAGGAAGTTCATCATTTTCAGCATTACAGAATTAAGCAGTCATTTCATAGTAGTTGTGGATCCTCGGTATTACTATGTATGGTCTTCTTGTGGGTTTAGTCGATTATCTAGCAGCAGCAGTAGTGGGAGCACCTTCTCCGAAGAGGATATTAGCAACAGGTGATGGAAGCCATGCTGATGAATTGCCACCAGTCGGGCCATCTCGAGCATGACCATCAACATGCACCTGAGGATTTCTGCGGCCCTTCTTAAGTGTTGCACCCACATTTTTCCTGACAAAAAGACCAAGCTTTAATGCTGTAAATAAGCTGAATGTAATTACTAATGGCCGCACAGCCCAATGAAAATCCTCAATATGTTGGTACTTTTCCACCACCCCAGGACAAGTGTCGAAAGATACACTCTCCACTTCAGCTGGATCTGCCAAGAAGCTATTGGATACATCTCCAAACACAAACCTCCCTGGGAATCTCACAACAAGGCATCCATTTGGGAGTATTTGAGAAATCCTCCCCGTGGCCCATGCCCCACCTCTTTTACAAGGCCAATCGAACCGGGGAGTGAAGACATGTTCCTTCAACCTCACAAATTGACCAACATAATATGGCTCCGCCATTTGGAGGTCAGAAGAATGTCCTTTCCAGAGAGTCTCTAGCCCTAAAAAACCAACAGCAACTCTTCCATCACGTTGTATGGAGTGTAGAATACCAACAGACGAGTGCTTCTTGCTGTTCTCCATTAAGCGCACCCAATCACCAGCTGCCAACCCACATGTGACCCTCTCTAGACTCGAAATGTTAACACTTCGAGGATTGTGCATTTCATGGATTCGCACCAGAACAAATCCATTTCGATCCGTATCCTTCTCCAACCCAACCACAGTTCCTTCTGTCACAGCCATGGTTTCTGGTCTGCAAGAGTTTAGGGCCTTCCTTGACCTAACTGTATCAGCCACTTGGAGATGGTCTTTTGAGAGAAACCAGGTGGAATAGCCACCGCTGTTTGATTTGTCTATCAATATTCTGCTCCCTAGACCAATCCATTCTCCATCATTACAAACAGCATTTTTTGAGCTGCAAGTTCAGGTGCAAATTATTCAAATAAGTGAATCTTTTCAAGCCAAACAAAAATATAAAGTACACAGGTATCGACAAGTGATTTGGAATGATCCTCTCTCTCTCTGTGTCACATAGATATCAAGTACGTACAAATGAAAAGTTCATTAAAATTTTTCTATCTTTACTTCTTTGCTTTTTTAAGTTCTTATTTCATGAATCCAGAGATGATGATGGGGGCTCTATATGGCACATAACAATTGTACTGGAAAGTCTCAGGGCCAACTCAATTCACCCGCTTGCTTGGTCTACTTAAACTACATAAACAGACATGTGAATTCCAAAATCAAAGTGCGGAAATGATTTGGTTTCATTGGGTTACAAGATTAACCACATTTAATAGAATGCTCAAATTCTGGAATTACCTCTCCAGAGAGAACTTGAACACTTCAAATGCTATTTCAATATTTCCACTATCCAGTTCAGACCTCAGGCCTGAGCATGCTACTGGTTTAATCGGAACAACTCGTTTCCCTATAATCTTACAAGTAATATCAACAAAATCGCATATCCCAGGAAACTCGGAACAAATCGTGATCCTATAATCTTACAAGTGACATCAACAAAAGCACGTATCTCAAGATAAGGAAAAAAAATAATAAAAAATTATTTAAGGTTTTTTTCCAAATAATCATTTAATAGAAAACAGCAAAAATAGAAAAATCAAGAAATCACTGGTTTACAAGAGTAGTTCCACAGTAATCAAACTTTTATACTTCCAAAGATTCATTAAATAAAGTCTTTGGTGTGTTTTATTTCGAATTTAATTACATGGCTACTTTTGGTGCAACAGCATTTGTATCCAATTAGGCTTTTTCAACCTCACTGTTCATTATTTTGTGTAAATGTGGACTTGATACACATGCACACATATATTGTGAACATGACCCAAGGCAGAGATGGTCAACTCAATAGAGTCTCAGCATAATAACTATTAAGGTCAGCCATGTGAATTTTGGTCTACCGTTCTGCTTTATGTATAAGGCCCGGGAAATGAAAAATTAGAAGTAACTGTCACCCATGGAAATTCAGTAGTCCAATTGCAGTTATCATTTAGTCAGAACTCTAAGTGATGATAAGGTAACAGATGAAAAGGGGTTTGTGGGGTTAAAAGAAGATAACAGTTCCAAAGGGGTCTTAAGAGATTTCTTAGTTCCTCAAAGCAATTAGCCAAAAAGACTTAAGAAAACAGACCTTTCAAATGCATGGAGAATATCTGCTGGTAAAGGACGATTCCGAAGATCATACTCAAAACAGCCATTGATAACATTCTGAACTGCAGGCGGCAGGCCACTTGGAAGCTGTGGTTTTTCTTGGTTTATCACGACACATTGATATATTTCCTCAACTGATTTCCCAAACCAAGGCTGGGCACCAGTCAGCATCTCCACAATGCTACACCCAAAACCCCAAGTATCAGTCTCAAAGGTTATTGGGCCTCTTACTTCAGGTTCCCATTGTTCTGGAGCCATGTAGTTTGGGGTCCCAAGCCTAAAAGCCATATCTGAATCGCGCAGTGGTGTCCCCAGAAGTAGATATGGAATCCCAAAATCTCCCAGGATCACTTGGTCATGATCATTAAGGAGGAAATTAGTTGGCTTAAGATTCAGCACCAGGACTCCTATTGAATGCAACTCTCGAATTCCTTTAGCCAACTCAATTCCATACCTGTAAACATTAGCATTCCATCAAAACATGTCCTGCTCCATCATGACACCTTTTAAGCTTCTGAGAATTGGCACAAAATACATCACCTCAAAACATCAGGTAATGAAAGCTTTCCTCCTTTCAGTCTAGCCATTCGATCACCTAATGATCCCTCATAGAATTTGGTAGCTATGCAGATCTGTCAAGAAATCCAGAGTCAGTTAAATAGACCGAGATAAAAACATAAATAGGCCCGCAAAACTCGAAAATTCAATTTCAATAGTCACCTTTCCAGACATAATTGTGATACCATGCAACCAACAAACACTTTGGAATTGTTTGATCTCCACAAATAACTCCTCAAATTTTCTCAAAATTTTTTCAATCTGATCCTCTTTTATGGGAGGTAACATCTTAACAGCCACTTCAAGACTCTGATGAAAATCATCACCTGATTGATGATGTGTTGCTAACCAAACATCACCAAAGGATCCACGACCAATCCTATGCTTAAGTTTCAATGATGCAGGATCAATCCATGGGCGAGCCAGGTTCGGCGTAGCAACAACAGTTATAAGATGATCAGGGTCTCCTTCATATAATTCATAATCAAAAGAAACTACTGGTGGGGCTGCTACAATTTGTTCCGCCATTTCTCGTTCTGAAAGGGTATAGCACAAAGTAAATTGCATGAAATTGGTGTTCAACTTCAATACGAAAGATTTCTAGAAGTTATAGAGATTTTAATAACTCTGATTTGATTATGTATTAGTAAGAATGTGTACAAAGAAAAATCACTGGACTCATACCAACAGGAATAGCGCTGTTGCATAACACAGCAGTCATGATTCTACAACTACAACTATCCAGAACCAAATTTCAAACAATTAGCACCTCCATGTTCCTCAAAAACAAAAACTTGTAAGGAAAACATACACATCAAAGTTATTGGAGGATACAAGACTGCATGAGTATGACAGTAATTACATGACAACACATATTACACAAACGAGGCTTGAACATAAACCCTTTGATATGTTGCCCATTATGATACGGCATATATTGCAAGCATAACCAAATGCTTACAAATTACAAACACTGGTACCTCCACTGAGTGAAGGCACTCCTGGATCCAAGTATAAAAATTGCTGGACACTTTATGACAATTTTAGAGGTCCCTAAAAATGGAAAGAAATCAAATCAAGAGCATTTTTAGCAAATTGGGCAATACTATTATGCATGGAAGGCTGTGAAAATCCATTCCGTTAGACTCTGCTTCTGTTAGTATCTAATAATTTTGTTGTGCCTTTCTCTATCATATATAATTCTAACACTTCAAGCTAAAGCGATCGTCGTATAGCCTGTCCAAGCCAACAATATTCACACCGCTAACCCTGCTTACCACCTAGGTGAGTTACGTAGACCAATCAATCCGACGTTAACAATCATTTGGTGACGCAGAAAACGCAGCAAAAAGATCAAATGATCTAAAAACCGTAGGTATCCAAGAGAGAAAGAGAGTCAAACCCACATTCTCAGAGTGATCAAAGTTCAATTCATGACATTTTCTAGCGTTTTCTCAGCAAAAAAAAAAAATCACCTTGATAGAAAAAGTACGAAGATTTACCTAAAGAACGCAGGAANTACATGACATTTTCTAGCGTTTTCTCAGCAAAAAAAAATCACCTTGATAGAAAAAGTACGAAGATTTACCTAAAGAACGCAGGAATTCACTAGTANTCGGTCCTTCTCGTACCACCCCATATTTTTGAGTATGAAAGCCATCCTTTCAAAAAGTGAGACAACTTGAACTCTGGCATGGGAATTGTCGCCTCTTCTTCACAATTATGGTGCTTGAAGTTGTTGCGATCTTCAATATGACTTACATGAACATTGCTGCGAGCTTGTTCTCTCTCTTCACCATCATTTGATCCAGATGACAACCTGTCAAGGNAATTCACTAGTATAGTGAGAATTGTGGAGGGAAATTGACAGAAAAGTGAGCAAATTCAAGACGATACGGCAGTCTTAATCTAAAAATTACTGCGCTCCTGCGAATTGAATGAAACCCTAAGCAATTCAGCCTTAACTGCGGAGTTCAGAATTGTGGAGGGAAATTGACAGAAAAGTCAGCAAATTCAAGACGATAGAGCAGCTTTAATCTCAAAATTCCTGCGCTCCAGCGAATTGAATGAAACCCTAAACAATTCAGTTATTTTTCAAGGAAGAAGCGGACAAAAAGGGTAAAAAGAAGAAGAAGACGGCTGTTACCTCGGAAATACTGGAGTTTGGGTGGCTTACTCAACGCATGAGATTGATTATTCCCATGGAGAAGTATGAGAGAAGCTGTTAGGCAGGCCAACGAAGAGTAGAGAGACGAAGCGGACTGAGAGAGAAGTGGAGTAAGTGTTTGTCGTCCACTCCTCCCACCGAGAGATTGATTTTAGTCTGTCAGACTCTGGCTATGCCGTGCCGTCACGGTATTACTCTGGTGCGATTTGTTCTTTGTCCTATTGTTTTTTCCTACTCATAAATCATATATGTCCGATAAATTGTCAATTTTGTACGAATTTAACACACAATATTAAGATTTCCAAGAATTATTATTCCTTGTCACTTTGTCAAATTTTTTAATTAATTAAATATTATATATTTTCAATCATTGTTATCAGCCGTTTATTTGTTGCAATAGTTAAAAGTAAAGGGTAAAATTTTCTTCTTTTTTTTTGGTTTGGGTAAATAAAGGGTACAAAGTATACAACAAAAATTAGGACCAAAGTTGAAGGGGCAGTATTGAGCACAATATTTTTTTTATACAAAAAATAGAAGTCAAGTTCATATATTTTAATAATCGACTTGGTTTTAGATCATTTGCATTCCTATAGTTAAAAAATGGCGCATTTAAATCCTCTCTAATATATTTTTTGAAAAAATTTCCATCCACTTAAATTCATGAAAGCTCATCCACTAAGGTTTTACCTGTAACTTGTTTGTTTGAAAAGCGTTACCACACACGAGCTTGAAGATGTTTTGAGCCTTTTGCAAATCTCAGAAAAGAGAGAACCAGAAATATACAACATTTCTCCGCCATGCAGAAAAATTATTTCCATACATGTATGATTAGTTTATAACGGACAATCTTACCGCTAAGTCAACCCTCACCCTCTAATGCAATGATGAAAGCCATTTGATAAATGGTAGAATCAAAGAATCTACGGTGCACAAGTCGGGAAGGATTAGAAGGATGCTCTAAAAGGCTCGAATATCTTCTAATTAGCGTAAAAAGTGGAAGCTACATGGACCACATTTCTTACCTCTTCCACAAGCCATTGCAAATCTACAATCTATTAGCCGTTGAATATCGCAACCGCGGCAATTTGCACTATGTTGCATCAGCAATCCCGTTAGTAAACTCACTGGACACAATTTTGTACTGAACTAGTAACAATAGCAACGAAATAATGTCAGGAAAAACAAGGAGAGCATCTTAAGACAAACTTCCATAGAATATACTGCAAGTGTATTAGCCAGCAAACTCTACCTTGGACGTCCCTTTGTCAGATGTTCCCTCACTAAATTCTATTTTTGTTAGGTACTATTACTAAATCAGAGTCATCCTAGACTCCTTGTCTGCCTGTTACACCATGAAGGGAAAATCTTGAAAGGCGGTTCCTGCCTTCGGTCCTTCTCGTACCACCCCATATTTTTGAGTATGAAAGCCATCCTTTCAAAAAGTGAGACAGCTTGAACTCTGGCATGGGAATTGTCGCCTCTTCTTCACAATTATGGTGCTTGAAGTTGTTGCGATCTTCAATATGACTTACATGAACATTGCTGCGAGCTTGTTCTCTCTCTTCACCATCATTTGATCCAGATGACAACCTGTCAAGGATGCTATTAGGTTTTGTCAAGAATATTCTAAAATGAATCCCGTATGCATAAACAGCCAGTTGTAGCTAAAATCAAAATATGCAGATGCTTCATGTTGATTTTTTTTTTTTGATTTTCATGATGATAAACCCCCTCTCAAATACAGTCCCAATAAAACATGACATGATCATTGCAACAATACAAATTCCTTCTCTATCTTTGTTTTCAGGCCAGAAAAATGAATAATTCATCCTACGGTCCTAATATTCATGGCACATGAAATGACTCGTGGATTGCGGTAATTCATATTTTGTCTATTTGTCCTGGCCTCTTAAAAACTTGCAGAGCTGCAACAGAGATCTCTGCACAAAAGCGGGAAATAGAAAGGAAAAAAAAAACCAGTCACCACTCCTATTGAATCTTTGAGCTCCATTATCGAGTGTCTGAACAACCAGTCCAATTTCAAGCCATGAGACAATGAACTGTATGCATAGGGAGAGCACCAATTTACTGCAAAAATAAAAAAGAAAGAGCATGCAGCATTGCTTACATTAAGCACTGTCTGGAAGCAATACCCTGCATTTTGGATCTTTGTTTCTCTGGTCTATAGTTAATTGACATGTGCCGAATAAATTTGAGCTGCATGTACCATGAAAGATAAATGGGTTAAATGCTGTCGGTGGCATGTCAGATCAACTATACAGAGAATAAGAACACATCCATGAATCCCTAATGCAAACTCAATGGAAGTGATTGGAACAGTGTTTCCATGAAGGAGAAATTCAACAGGTGCACAACAAAGAGGATTGTAACCCAAGAAGGTTCAGGGATGGATTTGGGTTTAAAAGCAATTCTGATATCTTACTTAAAGAACAGATACAGAAAAACTATTGTGATGGTTCACTTATATCAACTCACCTAAGTTCTTCAACCTTGCACCTCGAAAAATTTTGGTGGCCTTCAGGAAATCCTAGACTGAATTTCATTTTACAGAAGTGGTATTCTCTTGTAAATTAACCTAGATATATAGCGCCAATTCTGGAGACTTTAATGTCAAATTCATTTGATTTAATGATTGATTAGGGCATCATATGGTAGGAGTGGCCATCTTGTAAGCTTCCTCTCCATGCTGAGATTTCGGCCAGAGCCATCNTTGGTCCTTCTCGTACCACCCCATATTTTTGAGTATGAAAGCCATCCTTTCAAAAAGTGAGACAGCTTGAACTCTGGCATGGGAATTGTCGCCTCTTCTTCACAATTATAGTGCTTGAAGTTGTTGCGATCTTCAATATGACTTACATGAACATTGATGCGAGCTTGTTCTCTCTCTTCACCATCATTTGATCCAGATGACAACCTGTCAAGGATGCTATTAGGTTTTGTCAAGAATATTCTAAAATGAATCCCGTATGCATAAACAGCCAGTTGTAGCTAAAATCAAAATATGCAGATGCTTCATGTTGATTTTTTTTTTTTGATTTTCATGATGATAAACCCCCTCTCAAATACAGTCCCAATAAAACATGACATGATCATTGCAACAATACAAATTCCTTCTCTATCTTTGTTTTCAGGCCAGAAAAATGAATAATTCATCCTACGGTCCTAATATTCATGGCACATGAAATGACTCGTGGATTGCGGTAATTCATATTTTGTCTATTTGTCCTGGCCTCTTAAAAACTTGCAGAGCTGCAACAGAGATCTCTGCACAAAAGCGGGAAATAGAAAGGAAAAAAAAAACCAGTCACCACTCCTATTGAATCTTTGAGCTCCATTATCGAGTGTCTGAACAACCAGTCCAATTTCAAGCCATGAGACAATGAACTGTATGCATAGGGAGAGCACCAATTTACTGCAAAAATAAAAAAGAAAGAGCATGCAGCATTGCTTACATTAAGCACTGTCTGGAAGCAATACCCTGCATTTTGGATCTTTGTTTCTCTGGTCTATAGTTAATTGACATGTGCCGAATAAATTTGAGCTGCATGTACCATGAAAGATAAATGGGTTAAATGCTGTCGGTGGCATGTCAGATCAACTATACAGAGAATAAGAACACATCCATGAATCCCTAATGCAAACTCAATGGAAGTGATTGGAACAGTGTTTCCATGAAGGAGAAATTCAACAGGTGCACAACAAAGAGGATTGTAACCCAAGAAGGTTCAGGGATGGATTTGGGTTTAAAAGCAATTCTGATATCTTACTTAAAGAACAGATACAGAAAAACTATTGTGATGGTTCACTTATATCAACTCACCTAAGTTCTTCAACCTTGCACCTCGAAAAATTTTGGTGGCCTTCAGGAAATCCTAGACTGAATTTCATTTTACAGAAGTGGTATTCTCTTGTAAATTAACCTAGATATATAGCGCCAATTCTGGAGACTTTAATGTCAAATTCATTTGATTTAATGATTGATTAGGGCATCATATGGTAGGAGTGGCCATCTTGTAAGCTTCCTCTCCATGCTGAGATTTCGGCCAGAGCCATCGATGGAGGGTTCGAGGTAGATCCTATATATTATGGGTAATTCTACACTACAGTATCAACTTTTTTTTGGTCCCATACCAAATGTTACTATTTTTAAAGGAAAAATTACTACTATAAGGTAATTCATTATCAATCATGAATTACCTGAATGAGTTATAACTTCTCCTTTGTGAGTTGTAACTTGACCTTTAAAAGTTGAATCTTTCATGATCGAACATGACATTTGGGACGATCATGCCTTTTATAATTGTCACTCACACCTTAAAAAGTTGTAACTTGACCTCAAAAAGTAGTAATTTTCGGTATATGTATTATTGTGTGCTTGTGTATCTATTTACTTCATCTTTCATTTGAACCCTAATCTTGTCCAGGGTTTGGCAGCATGAATTGAGGACATCACATTGGATTTGGAACACATTTAGCATAAAACTTGAGTTCATCCTTTACAAAGTCCAATTGCAAGCACCAACTCCAAGCTGATGGATATGGATAGAGTGCTAGTTTAGATTGAAAAAAGGAATAGAAAAAATAGAAATGTAAAAGACATTGTAAGCAAGTACAGAATCCCCCAATGACATATCAATATAAGCAACAATCTACCTGCCCCTAGAAAGTTGTATATATATATATTCTGTATACGTAACGATCATTTCTATATTTGAAGCACAACACAGATTTCTTTTTCAAATTTCATCACGTATCACAAGGATGCACGACTAACCTGATCTCCATCCTTGATCCCAAAACTTTGAATGTAAGCCTTGTCATTCACTAGTTTCTGACCTTCATAGCACAAGCAGAAGTGGCCCCAAACATGTGACCTGCCCCATCAAATTCAAAGGAGTTAAAATTACAGCTTTGTTGCCTGACAATCATCTGGGGAAAGTCGTAACTTTTAACAATTTTAAGGGCCAGAAGGTTTGCATTGTAAGGCAAATTCATGTTCTTTTCTTGTCTATCTATTATTTGTGTCCACCTTCAGTATCATGCGTGCAAGGTGATTATGAAAATCCCAGAAACCACTGCCAAAAATAACTGGCGATCCCAATGATGACATTTCCTAAAACACTAAATCTACGGTCATTTCTTGTGATGATTCCCATTTCCTTTAGTCATGAATTTGTAGCTTCATGGTACTAAACTTTATCAAGCCATTCAATTTCGTCAACATCAGTGAGAGTGCTCAAAAGCATCTATCAAACTTAAGTGACAGCAACTAAATCCAATTGCACATTGCAAGTTAAATGAACTCAACTGGTCATGCCATTGTAATTCCCTCCTATTAACAAACATATTCAATATATATTCAAGTAAATAAATTGAATGACTTGTTCTACATTTTTGAACCAAAAACTCCAAAAAAATTTAGCTATGAGCCTAGTTATATCCATACCATGAAATCTTGCCTTGATCTTCCTTAGGCGACCAACTAAAAACTTCTTCTATTGCTAGCTTAAGCTCTGCTACAGTAGCATTCCTTGCAACATGAACACCTACACAATCAAAATCATAATCCATTATTGATCCCATTCTAACTTCGAAAAAAATCCAATAGCACAAAGCAACACCACATTGCGATTTACCAAAGGAAGATCCATCCAATTTGAGAACAGAAAGCTTTAGTAGCAGTTGAGGAAGCTTTTGGTACGAGAGATTCCGAAGACAGAGTCCACCGTTAATCGACAACGGAACCAAAGCCCTAGAACCTCGATTTTCGAGCTCAATCCTTGGAATAATCTTCACCATTTCCCTCTCACAAACCACGCTTTAAACCCTAGCGATTACGGTTCTGATAAAATTTCTAGAGACAGAAAGGGAGTAGAGGGGGGGGGGGGGGGTTGGAGGGAAGTGAAACGGAGAGATGGTCGGCAGTGGTTGGGCTTCCAAAGCGGTGACCGTTAGAGGGGGCATGTTTGTGGACGCGTAGGAATTATTTACGTACTTTCATGTGTACTCGCGTTTATAGGATGACATCTGGAGAAGACTTCAAATTGGGTCAACGGCTATATTCTGTGTTGGAGGGAAGTGAAACGGAGAGATGGTCGGCAGTGGTTGGGCTTCCAAAGCGGTGAGCGTTATAGGGGGCATGTTTGTGGACGCGTAGGAATTATTTACGTACTTTCATGTGTACTCGCGTTTATAGGATGACATCTGGAGAAGACTTCAAATTGGGTCAACGGCTATATTCTGTGTTGGAGGGAAGTGAAACGGAGAGATGGTCGGCAGTGGTTGGGCTTCCAAAGCGGTGACCGTTATAGGGGGCATGTTTGTGGACGCGTAGGAATTATTTACGTACTTTCATGTGTACTCGCGTTTATAGGATGACATCTGGAGAAGACTTCAAATTGGGTCAACGGCTATATTCTGTGTTGGAGGGAAGTGAAACGGAGAGATGGTCGGCAGTGGTTGGGCTTCCAAAGCGGTGACCGTTATAGGGGGCATGATTGTGGACGCGTAGGAATTATTTACGTACTTTCATGTGTACTCGCGTTTATAGGATGACATCTGGAGAAGACTTCAAATTGGGTCAACGGCTATATTCTGGTGCATGGGCTGTAAATGGTTTGAGCTGTGGGTTTCGGAATGAGCGTTAATTCCACCATTTACCAACCAGCTATTGGTCTGGCGGGTAAAAATTTAATTTTTTTTGTTCAATTTTAGATCCGAACCTCCATAAGTATAAAAGTTCGTTGTAACTATACCCACTCAATCCTTTCGCACTACAATAGAACTCTTATATCAGTTCTTTGCATTCTTCATTCCTTTCTCTTTGATTTGCTTCCTATGGAGTTTGAGCTTAGTCATCTCTTCCAATGTTCTGTGCTATTGTCTTTTGATCCATGGCAGTAAAGGATGTGCTTATTCAAGGATATTCAAAGCAACGTGGTAGAACAACTCGGTTATATAATAGTAAATACATCATCAAACAGCTCTTTTGTGACCGATGCACTAGCTAAATCAAGAAATTCAGAAACCATCCAATACACTAAAATCAGCTTTTAATGTTATGTTTTTGACAAGGGCCTAAAAAAAAAACTCAGAAAGCCACTCACAAATCTTATAACAAACAAACAATCCTTTCAATTCGATAGGCAACTATTACCCGGCCATTCCTTTGAACATTACAACTTTGCCAATTGATCAAAAACTCTCCACCTGAAATTATATTCCATCACCCTTCACTGCCGAACAATTTAGCTACCATTTAGAAATTACAGCTAGACTTCAAATTTTTCAATTTCTTGTTTTGGTCCTTTTTCCTCAGAAATAATATCTGAGCTATCTTCTGCAACCGATAACCCATCATCATATTGTACAATTTGAGAACCCTTGAACAATTCATCATTTTCCAGAGCAGAAAACTTCTCTTTCAAGTCTCCTTTCAGTAGCTCAACCACCTCAAGCATGCTGGGTCTCTTCTCTGGTCGACTATCAGCGCAGACAAGTGCAATAATGACAATTCTTTTCAACTCTTCTTCCACATACTTCCCATTTAGCCTTGGGTCAGCCAGGTCACTGTACTTCCTCTCAGATGCCAAAGGCAGAGCCCAATCTGTGATTTTGCGTTTCAGTGTTGCACTGATCTTCTCAATGGGTTTCTTGCCACTAGCAAGCTCAAGTAGAAGAATGCCAAAGCTGTAGACATCACAGCTCTCTGATGCCTTCCCTAGCATTGCGTATTCTGGCGCAAGGTAGCCAAGAGTACCCTTGACTTTGGTGGTTACATGCGTTGCACCATCGGGTATGAGTTTTGCAAATCCAAAATCAGCAACTTGAGCTTGGAAATCTGAATCCAGTAACACATTGCTCGCTTTAATGTCTCTGTGAATTATGTGTGGGGTCGCATGGTGGTGAAGATAACTGGATAAAAATCATTAAAAGGTTAATTGAGTTTGAGTGAGAATGATAAAAGAAGTATTGGGTCACAACTTACGCGACACCCTCGGCAGACCCAATCGCAATATTCATCCGCCGGTCCCAATCAAGAAGGCATTCAGACGAGTGCTGCCCATGAAGGTGAGAGAGCAGGCTCAGATTAGGCATGTAGTCATATACAATCAGACGCTCTTGCCCTTCAGCACAATAGCCTCGTAAACTTAGCAAATTCTTGTGTCGTACTCTGGCAAGTATCTCAACCTCAATAGCAAATTCCATCTCTGCTTTATTGCTCCAAACCTTTAACCTTTTTACTGCTATCTGCAAATACATGTCAGAAAGGAATGTAGTATCTGTAAGATACAAAAAGGTCAGTTTTGAGTGAGAAATAGTTGTGACAACTGACGAGCAATATCAAGTTATTTAAAAGTTGTGAAACAATCTTAGGCTCCATCTGCTCACTTAAAGAGTGACCAATTTACAGCTTTTAAATTGTCTCTCATATGACGTAGAATCAAAAACAATTCGACATTCTTTCGTAAAAAAAAATAATTATATTAGGGTTTTTAAACTTTGACTCCGAGAAAACCCCCCTGGGTGAACCATATTTCAAATAAAAAGGTAATAGTAATCAGTGGGGAAAGCAAAAAGCACTCCTACATTAATGCCTGTCCCAAAAACTACAATAGCTAGATAAATTAATTGCAAAAGAAATGAACAACAAAGCAGCACTAAAAATTCATTCTAGTGATCATACTACAAAACTGTTATTCAGAGTTGCAACAGAAGGACCTGTAGATTTCTAGTCAAACAATGAAAAAGGTTAGTGGGAATAGGATATTTACTACAGACAGGAAAGGGTTTAACTTCCAACGGCAGAAAAGAGGAAGTCAACAACTAAAGCATGAGGACAAAAGCAGGCTGGAGTCAAACTCCAAGTAATCCTTAGATGAGCTTTATCGGATTTGCTAAACATATATTCTACAGGTAGAGAGGCAACAACCTCAATGACAACAGGAAAGATACCATTTTGCGGCAAGGATTGTTAACCAACAAAACAACGCATGACGAAGCTATACAGCATCACTTGGCATACCACAGGACCTTAGCTACTCAGAGAAAACCCCTACATTTTAATGTTGTTGACTTGAATGGTTCGTTTCGAGGAGAAGAAACTACTAAATAGTAGTGAGCAGATGGACTGACCTTTCCCACAATGTGAATAGCAGGCAAAAACATAACAGTGCAGGATTAGCGGCCAAAGACCTCTTTTTTATTGCAAGAAAGAGCAAGGAGAAAGTTCACTTTTTTTTGTTAGNTGAGCAGATGGACTGACCTTTCCCACAATGTGAATAGCAGGCAAAAACATAACAGTGCAGGGTTAGCGCCCAGAGACCTCTTTTTTATTGCAAGAAAGAGCAAGGAGAAAGTTCACTTTTTTTTGTTAGCCCATCCCACACTAATCTCTAACCTCAGAAACAACTGAAAAAATGAGCTTGGAGCATGCTGTCAAATCTCCAAAGAACAATATGCATTTAACTACTATTTCTGGGCACTGTTAACCAGATTTCTGGAGATTTAAGTTAGTGTTAGGAGAAGATTTGTTCTTTTTTCCCAAATACAAATTTTTTTCTTCACATCACACAATAAGCTTCCCAATGACGAGATTGTAGTCTCAATCCTAACCTCAGAAGGTATGTTTTGGGTATGCCTTCCTGGCTTGTATGATTGTCTTGCCTTCCTCACTGGTATTCCCATATCGGGGTCGAGGACCAAGACAAAGCATAGTACCATACCTCAACCTCCCTCTTGCTAGTTTTACTCATTTTTCCGACTACCCCAGTTAGAAACATTTACAAGATTATCTATCCTTAAGCTACATCAATGGCCTAATATGTTCTTCACTACTATTTTGCTTGATAAACTAAAGTGAAGGTCAAAATATAACAAACTTAGCAACAAAATACTGATTATCAAGACTGAATGATGAGAGAAACTTTGTTAATTACTTGAGATCCATCCCATAGCTGACCCCAGTAAACACTGCCAAATCCACCTTCTCCAAGCTTGTTGTCGTAATTAAAATTGTTCGTAGCCGAGTGCAACTCCTTCAAAGAGAAAATCCTCCATTTCGACTGCTTCTTCCTTTCTCCTTTCCTATACAATTAAACAATAAAAATTAGCAGAAAACTGAAATCCTCCATCTTCAATTTTTACTGTTTCAGTCAACGAAAAATGGAACAAGCAACTCAATTAAGCTCTAGACAGTCAGAAGCTTAAAACTTAAGACCACTAGGGAAGGAGAAAAGAACAACTTTCTCGGCTGCCAAACAAAGGGCAAAGCATATTGCTCTGCCCATATCACAATAGGTTTTCACTTGAATTAAAAACAGAACAAATTCAATGTTAGCTCTGATCAATCGAAGTAACAAATAAGTATACCGATCCAAACCCTTAAAGCAGCAAAACGTCAACGAAAAATCCATTTATGCCTAGTGCAATTCCCTTCTGTCTCTTTAGCTTCGAATTATTGACCCTTTCCTCAATGAAACATCCAACAAAACCCCATGAACCTTACTCTTCTCTCACTCACACACACACACTTCCTCCTTAATGTAGATTCGAAAAACGATCCCTTAAGATCGAAGCCACCTTCTTCGTGCTCCTCTCACTCTCTGTGTCTCTACTTTCTTTATCTAAAACCTCTGTATCAGAAAAAAAAAAGGTGCTGAAAGCTAAAGAGGCAAAACTGGATAGATTCGAAACGTAACGCTTTTTGGAGATGATGCCGACATTTCTAGGGCGACATGGGAGAGAGATGAGAGAGAAGATGTTGAGAAAGAGAGAGGAGGAGGTGGCGAATGTCGCACAAAGGAAAGGGGGTTTGGGTTTGCAGAGGTGTGCGTGTAAGAGAAGTCCACTTCCTTGGACTTTGTCTGTTTTTATGGTAATCTGTTCTCTTTCAATTTTCAAACCTCAAGTGGTGCGGGTCCCATCAGTAATGCGTATAAAGTAATAGGATAACAAAAAATAATAATTAATAAATATATTTATATTCATATTCAAAATTAAATCACAAATATAAAAGACAAATAAATAAATTTAAGCATCGATTATAGTGGAAGTAAGAAGTGGTGGGTGACAATGGTGGCAGCGGTGATAACGGTGGTTGTGGCGATGATGACGATAGTGATGGTAACAATGGCAGCGGTGTGGGTGGTGAAAAGGACGTTGATGGCGACGATAGTGGTAAAGATAGTGATAAGGCGATTTCAAATACTATTTTTTTTTAAAGTACTTATGAAAAATAATTCTTAAAAGTACTTTTAAAAGGTCATTCTAAACACATTCTTATGCCCCTATTTTTTCTATTAAATTTTGATTGTTGATATTAGCCGTCAGATTAACTTTAAAGTAAAATTGAAAAAGATTTCAACTACGAATAGTAAAAATCATTTTATTTATCTTTTAAAATTTAAATTATAAGTTACCTTATTATATAATTTTTTAGTAAAACATNAGAGATTTCAACTACGAATAATAAAAATCATTTTATTTGTTTTTTAAAATTTAAATTATAAGTTACCTTATTATATAATTTTTTAGTAAAACATAAGTTTTTAACCGTTTTCGTATATCATTAGCATATACATTTGTGTGTGTGTATATATATATATATTAGTAATTATTCATGCCTAGAGGCACGACGTAACAAACAAAAAAATCAAAAATAAATACATATGCATTAAGAGACTGTATGCTAACATTATTCAATGACCGTTTAATTTTTGATTGATATCCAAATGATAGTAAATTCAAAAATCATTGTAATATAAAAACAATCAAATAAGTATGAGATAGAAAGCAAGGAACGGGGATTAAGAGATGAATTGCAATAAAAAAAATAATAAACAATATCAACAAAACCTAAATCAATTAAAACTAAATTTTTAACATTCTATTGGGTTAAATTACACTTTTTGTCCTCATAGTATGTTGATAGTTTAGACAATGTTCGTGCCTCTAAATATAATTTTTTTTTCTATTTTTTTAAATAATTACGGCTAAATTATCTCTAAAAATATGAAGATGTGCAAACCTTATCAAGTAAAGATATTTTTTATATATCATACTTAAACATATTTGTGGAAAGATAGCATGTCATCAATGAAAACTGGTCTTGATTAAATTTCAATAATTAAATCCAACTATGCTAACATTATTAAATTAAGAAATTAAATACATAAAATTTGAGTCTCATAAATAATTCAAGCAAAATCTTCTAAAAATACAACTATACAGAATTATTACCACTTAGCCTAAATTTTGATAACTAATCAGATTTTGTGCTCAAATTGAAATTAAATCTAACCAAGTCGACTATTTAAATTAATTTTTCTATTCAATTCAAACCATATTTCATCAACTAAATTAATTTTATGTTGCACAAATTTGTCCTAAGAGATTTACCCCACCACCACTCATCCATCACATTTTCGAGATTAACTATTATCACTAAAATCACTATCATTATCATTTCCAAACCTAAAACAAAATCTTCAAAAACCATCGGTACCGCTTTGAGAAGGCGAGCTTACTTTTGACTACAATCCAAACCAAATAATGTATCAAATTGACAACAAATCAAATGAACTATAAGATATATTGACAACAAATCAAGTTAAATTTCAGTATACTGCAGGAATAGTGTATAACTTGTAAAATTTATGAATGTACACAAAGCATTGAATTGAAGTCAAGATTTAAAATTTTGAAGAGAGAAAATAATATTTTAAAAACATAGACATTACAACCTAAAGAAACTTGAATAGCAGTATAGAGAACTCATTAAACATCGTGCATATACCTCACAGTAGTTCCTGTCATTTTTGCTTTCTTTTGATGCAAATCATTCCCAAATGTGCCAAAAAAATAAAAGGTTTGACTCTTGATCAAAAGGGCTCCTTGGTTCTTTTGAAATTCTTTGTAGTTGTTGGACAAAACAAACACTAAAAATAGATGAACTCATAATTGTTCACAAAGGACCACTTAGCATGAACTAATCTTATGTCCTCATATCTTAGAACGTATAGAAAAAGATTCTAAATAACCTAAAAATATGTAAAAGTAAAAAAAATAACAAACCTAAACCAATAAAACCACTTTTTTAGGAGATCATCGACCCACTGGAGTTGCGCCGTCGTACTATAGATGATCGCTGCAGCAGACAAAGTAAGTTTGTTAAAAAATAAGGATAATATTGGTTCGCTCATTAAAGCAATAAATACAAATATTTAGTGTTTCGGTAACTGTGGTAGGTTTCGGTAGAAATGTGTGCGTGTGGGGGTGGGGAGGCGTTTGTTGGCTAGGGAGATTTTAGCGACATTGGTGGGGACTGGGGAGAAAAAGGGAGTGGAGGTGCTGGCTAGCTGCAAGTAAGAGTTTGACTTTGGATATATAGGGTGTTTGGTGGGCTGTTATGAGTTTCGGTGACAGAGGGGGAAAGGGAATGAAAGGGTGGTTGCGGTAAAGGGAGACATACACACAGAGATAAAGCAAGGAAGGATACTCGGGTGAGATTTCAAGATTGTCGATGGTTGATCACTGTGTCTCCAATGGTGCCTCTATAGTGTTGCCGTGAAGAGAGAGAGATTCGGTGAGGAGAGAAAACAAGAGAAGAGAAAGGGGAGCCAGTGGCTACAGGGGTGGCTTAAGCCAATTTGATATCTAAAGTAGAAATATTAAATGGAGACATTTTTATTTTTAGTATTATATTTTTAAAAAAATTAATTTATTTTTAATTTTTTATGTAAGAATGAGACAAAAGAAATATGTGTTAATATTGTCGAAAAAGATATTTCAACTTTTGTTTTTGTTTTTTAATCACAGAGAAGGAGAGAAAATGTTCAATTTCAATTTTTATTTTTATTTTTTTTTCTAGATGGAGAGAGAGAGAAAGAGAGAGAGAGAGAGTAAATATGAGTTGACTTTTGAGTATTTTTTATTTTTTTAATTTCTAAGTTTTTAATGTTATGGATTGGATTATAGGGCCAAATTATTACAATAAAAATTTAATTGGATTTAATTTTTTGGAGTTTTTTTGTATGACTTAAAATTTAATAGATTTAAATTTTTTTTTGTAGGCTAGTGATGTACCTAAAATTATAGGATCATCTAAAAGTTTGGGGCCTAAAGCCTATGTTCTTTGTTTTATACTGTTGGGCTGGCCCTAGATGGCTATTCGTTGGGGGCAAAGATCGAGAAGAGGAACAAAGTGAGTAGCAAAAATATTTTAAAAGAGCTAATGTGGTACGTCGGATCAAAACAATCTGAGACGTTAATAGTTTGAGACAATTTGAGATAACGCCGTCTGTTGGATGATGACTTTTTTAGTTACGAAACGATCTGGGTCATTTTTTATCTCTAAAATTTAAAATCGTTCTACTTTATTATATAAACTAGTCATAACCCGTGCCTGAAGTCACGATAAAACATAAAATTCGAGTGCCCAAAAAATCGATTTCACTATATTAAGTTTTTTCAACATGTGTATATTATTGTATATGAATAATATTTGAAATAAAAATTATATTAACTACAAATTAATCAAATATTAAATGATTAAATATATGATAAAAATGAGTGATGTGATATTTTTAACGAGCAAATATATAAATGATTAAATATGTGATAAAAATTAGTGATGCGATTTGACGTTTGAGTCTGACAGAGAGATGATGGGTGAGGTAAGTAATTAATGATAGTTTTGAAGAAAAAAATATGACTCAGATAAAATTTAAAATATGAGTTGTTTTATTAAATATATATATATATATATATATATGCTAATCCGGATCCCTAGTCAATGAATTGACAACTTTAAGACATCAACAACACTGCACTAACATGGACCAAACTGGCCTTTGTTGGTTTGTTCGGGTTCAATGTCACCAACTGTACTTGTGGGTTGTTTAACATGACAATTCATTAATTAACAGAAGATTAATTATACTAGTATTTACAGTTGATGTTTTTGTTAAATATAATAATTGTTTCCTTTTCCCACAATGTTGTTAGTTGGAAAAGTAGAAAACCCAAGGGATAAATGGTCGAAAGCATAATATATATATTTCTTTGTATTGAAGGAAAGTTTGGCCCATTCCTACTTGGCCGTATATGAGGATGGGGGATGGGATTCCAATACAATCCTGGGTGGAATATACAACACCATAACCTCCGAAGAGCATCTCCAACAATAAAATCTATTTTAGTTATTCATTTTTTTAATTCACAGTTTAATAGATTTTTTATATTTTTTACTACTCTTTTTAAATATTATTTTTCATTCATTTTGTATTATTGTTTTTTGAGAATAGTGAAAGGGAAAAAGAGAGAGAATGAAATAAAGGAAAGGAAAAGAGAGAGAATGAAATAAAGGAAAGGAAAAGAGAGAAAATATTATAAACAAATTTTACATATTGCTACAGTTATATTTTATATTTAGCGTATCACTGTAGCAAAAATTTATTCTAGAGTATCTGAACATATCCTGTTGAAGTATGATTTTTTGCTTTGGTTAATTAAATTTTAATTATTTTTGTGCTTTACAACATCTCTTGGAGATGCTCTAAAATATAAAACGTAGAGGTATCCCCACTCTATAAATATTCATTCTCATCTCATTAAAATTTTTATTTTCAAACAACTAAGTTCATTCATTTTATTTTCATCCTATTTTAACTAAATTCACCTCATGTTATATACACCCTATTTAATAACAAGCTCACATTTTATCTTCTTATAATTAAGGTTTTATTCACTATTTCTTCTCGTAAAATCTACACAAAAGAACTTTTTCAATACGAATTGATAAATAAGATGAGTACATCACTTCTATATTTGTACATTATC